AAATGATTGATTATAAATGATTGATTATAAATGATTGATTATAAATGATTGGTTATAAATGATTGGTTATAAATGATTGATTATAAATGATTGATTATAAATGATTGATTATAAATGATTGATTATAAATGATTGGTTATAAATGATTGATTATAAATGATTGATTATAAATGATTGATTATAAATGATTGGTTATAAATGATTGATTATAAATGATTGGTTATAAATGATTGATTATAAATGATTGGTTATAAATGATTGATTATAAATGATTGGTTATAAATGATTGATTATAAATGATTGGTTATAAATGATTGATTATAAATGATTGGTTAAAATGATTGATTATAAATGATTGGTTATAAATGATTGATTATAAATGATTGGTTATAAATGATTGATTATAAATGATTGGTTATAAATGATTGATTATAAATGATTGATTATAAATGACTGATTATAAATGATTGATTATAAATGATTGATTATAAATGATTGGTTATAAATGATTGATTATAAATGATTGATTATAAATGATTGATTATAAATGATTGATTATAAATGATTGATTATAAATGATTGATTATAAATGATTGATTATAAATGATTGGTTATAAATGATTGATTATAAATGATTGGTTATAAATGATTGATTATAAATGATTGGTTATAAATGATTGATTATAAATGATTGGTTATAAATGATTGATTATAAATGATTGGTTATAAATGATTGATTATAAATGATTGGTTATAAATGATTGATTATAAATGATTGATTATAAATGATTGGTTATAAATGATTGGTTATAAATGATTGATTATAAATGATTGATTATAAATGATTGGTTATAAATGATTGGTTATAAATGATTGATTATAAATGATTGATTATAAATGATTGGTTATAAATGATTGGTTATAAATGATTGATTATAAATGATTGATTATAAATGATTGGTTATAAATGATTGATTATAAATGATTGGTTATAAATGATTGATTATAAATGATTGATTATAAATGACTGATTATAAATGATTGATTATAAATGATTGGTTATAAATGATTGATTATAAATGATTGATTATAAATGATTGGTTATAAATGATTGATTATAAATGATTGGTTATAAATGATTGATTATAAATGATTGGTTATAAATGATTGATTATAAATGATTGGTTATAAATGATTGATTATAAATGATTGATTATAAATGATTGGTTATAAATGATTGGTTATAAATGATTGATTATAAATGATTGGTTATAAATGATTGGTTATAAATGATTGATTATAAATGATTGATTATAAATGATTGGTTATAAATGATTGGTTATAAATGATTGATTATAAATGATTGATTATAAATGATTGGTTATAAATGATTGATTATAAATGATTGGTTATAAATGATTGATTATAAATGATTGATTATAAATGACTGATTATAAATGATTGATTATAAATGATTGGTTATAAATGATTGATTATAAATGATTGATTATAAATGATTGATTATAAATGACTGATTATAAATGATTGATTATAAATGATTGATTATAAATGATTGGTTATAAATGATTGGTTATAAATGATTGATTATAAATGATTGATTATAAATGATTGATTATAAATGATTGGTTATAAATGATTGATTATAAATGATTGGTTATAAATGATTGATTATAAATGATTGGTTATAAATGATTGATTATAAATGATTGGTTATAAATGATTGATTATAAATGATTGGTTATAAATGATTGATTATAAATGATTGGTTATAAATGATTGATTATAAATGATTGGTTATAAATGATTGGTTATAAATGATTGATTATAAATGATTGATTATAAATGATTGATTATAAATGATTGGTTATAAATGATTGATTATAAATGATTGATTATAAATGATTGATTATAAATGATTGATTATAAATGATTGATTATAAATGATTGGTTATAAATGATTGATTATAAATGATTGATTATAAATGATTGATTATAAATGACTGATTATAAATGATTGATTATAAATGATTGGTTATAAATGATTGATTATAAATGATTGATTATAAATGATTGATTATAAATGATTGATTATAAATGATTGGTTATAAATGATTGATTATAAATGATTGGTTATAAATGATTGATTATAAATGATTGGTTATAAATGATTGATTATAAATGATTGATTATAAATGATTGATTATAAATGATTGATTATAAATGATTGATTATAAATGATTGATTATAAATGATTGGTTATAAATGATTGATTATAAATGATTGATTATAAATGATTGATTATAAATGATTGGTTATAAATGATTGATTATAAATGATTGATTATAAATGATTGATTATAAATGATTGATTATAAATGATTGATTATAAATGATTGGTTATAAATGATTGATTATAAATGATTGATTATAAATGATTGGTTATAAATGATTGATTGTAAATGATTGATTGTAAATGATTGATTATAAATGATTGATTATAAATGATTGATTATAAATGATTGGTTATAAATGATTGATTATAAATGATTGGTTATAAATGATTGATTATAAATGATTGATTATAAATGATTGGTTATAAATGATTGATTGTAAATGATTGATTATAAATGATTGATTATAAATGATTGATTGTAAATGATTGATTGTAAATGATTGATTATAAATGATTGATTATAAATGATTGATTATAAATGATTGGTTATAAATGATTGATTATAAATGATTGGTTATAAATGATTGATTATAAATGATTGATTATAAATGATTGATTATAAATGATTGGTTATAAATGATTGATTATAAATGATTGATTATAAATGATTGGTTATAAATGATTGATTGTAAATGATTGATTGTAAATGATTGATTATAAATGATTGATTATAAATGATTGATTATAAATGATTGGTTATAAATGATTGATTATAAATGATTGGTTATAAATGATTGGTTATAAATGATTGATTGTAAATGATTGATTATAAATGATTGATTATAAATGATTGATTGTAAATGATTGATTATAAATGATTGGTTATAAATGATTGATTGTAAATGATTGATTGTAAATGATTGATTATAAATGATTGATTATAAATGATTGATTATAAATGATTGGTTATAAATGATTGATTATAAATGATTGGTTATAAATGATTGATTATAAATGATTGGTTATAAATGATTGATTATAAATGATTGATTATAAATGATTGGTTATAAATGATTGATTATAAATGATTGATTATAAATGATTGATTATAAATGATTGGTTATAAATGATTGATTATAAATGATTGATTATAAATGATTGATTATAAATGATTGGTTATAAATGATTGATTATAAATGATTGGTTATAAATGATTGATTATAAATGATTGATTATAAATGATTGATTATAAATGACTGATTATAAATGATTGATTATAAATGATTGGTTATAAATGATTGATTATAAATGATTGATTATAAATGATTGATTATAAATGATTGATTATAAATGATTGGTTATAAATGATTGATTATAAATGATTGGTTATAAATGATTGATTATAAATGATTGGTTATAAATGATTGATTATAAATGATTGATTATAAATGATTGATTATAAATGATTGATTATAAATGATTGATTATAAATGATTGATTATAAATGATTGGTTATAAATGATTGATTATAAATGATTGATTATAAATGATTGATTATAAATGATTGGTTATAAATGATTGATTATAAATGATTGATTATAAATGATTGATTATAAATGATTGATTATAAATGATTGATTATAAATGATTGGTTATAAATGATTGATTATAAATGATTGATTATAAATGATTGGTTATAAATGATTGATTGTAAATGATTGATTGTAAATGATTGATTATAAATGATTGATTATAAATGATTGATTATAAATGATTGGTTATAAATGATTGATTATAAATGATTGGTTATAAATGATTGATTATAAATGATTGATTATAAATGATTGGTTATAAATGATTGATTGTAAATGATTGATTATAAATGATTGATTATAAATGATTGATTGTAAATGATTGATTGTAAATGATTGATTATAAATGATTGATTATAAATGATTGATTATAAATGATTGGTTATAAATGATTGATTATAAATGATTGGTTATAAATGATTGATTATAAATGATTGATTATAAATGATTGATTATAAATGATTGGTTATAAATGATTGATTATAAATGATTGATTATAAATGATTGGTTATAAATGATTGATTATAAATGATTGGTTATAAATGATTGGTTATAAATGATTGATTGTAAATGATTGATTATAAATGATTGATTGTAAATGATTGATTATAAATGATTGGTTATAAATGATTGATTGTAAATGATTGATTGTAAATGATTGATTATAAATGATTGATTATAAATGATTGATTATAAATGATTGGTTATAAATGATTGATTATAAATGATTGGTTATAAATGATTGATTATAAATGATTGGTTATAAATGATTGATTATAAATGATTGATTATAAATGATTGGTTATAAATGATTGATTATAAATGATTGATTATAAATGATTGATTATAAATGATTGATTATAAATGATTGATTGTAAATGATTGATTGTAAATGATTGGTTATAAATGATTGTTATTTTTCCATGATTAGGAAATCATGGAATCCAAATGGATCATGGAAGGCAACTTCCTGTTCTCTTCCCAGACAACAGGAAGTTGGTCAATAAACATCATGTTACTGATTAATTATGTTGACCTAAATTACAAGTTTTATTAACTGCCCTCCACAATTATTTAGCTATGAACAGCTGGACTCCTAATCGCTGAAAAATTAACAGTTGAAGGATTTCTTCCTCCCAAAGTCAGAAAATGAGATGTCTGGACGGACGAGGCGGTTTAAGCTGAAATCACCCAGAGAAATAAATAAACAAGCTATTTAATAATTAAACAATTGATCTTTATTAACTCTTCTCAAAAAGATACATTATTTCATAAACATTCCCAGTAAAGTTTAGATTCAAATCACAGGATCTTTAACATCTGAACTTGCTGTTTTTCCCTCCAGGGGTTTTTGTGTCTCTAGTGACTCTTACAGGAAGGGGAAGACCCGTCGGGTCCGGAAGTCGAACCCACGACGGCCGCGCCGAGGACCAAAGGCCTGAAAATGTGGGTCGCGCTTCCCCCGACCCACCACAGCCCCGAACATCTCAACATCTTTCATGTTGCAACTGGAAACAGGATTTTCTGGCTTTTGAAAACATCTTCAATAAAAATGATGCAAAAATATTCCAGCAGATTCTCCCAGTTCCATCAGTTTACTGGTGCCGGAACCAGTAAACCAGTACTGCATCTCAGAACCAGAAACTACAGCCGCTTTCTGCTCTTTGGACCAGAAATTATTTTAAGACTGAAAATTTGATTTTTGCTTCATAAACAATTGAGAATAAAAAGTTAAACTAAATAAATCTCTGGGATGTATAAACTTATCTGATTTAAAACTAAACAATAAAATACAAAGTTACCTGATTTATTTTATGACCCTTGACCTCTGGAAAGGTCCCGGCAAATTGAATATAAACTAGATGAGAAGAAACTAAATTCTGAAAAACAAAACCAAGAATCCCTTCAGTTCTTCACAGCAGGGCCGATGTAGGCATCAGAGGTCATCCTGAAGGTCACCCAGAGTCTGCTCTCATGTCATCACATCCACTGCAAGCAGATTACCCACGATGCCGTTCACCAACATGGTGACCCGGTTAGATATCAGCAGGATTATCAGACTTCCTGTAGTGTCTGCAGCAGTTTTAACTCCCAGGTTTTGACTAATAATTCAGTAAAGTTTGGATTTACAGATCTGCTGCTGGATTATTAACATTTCTCTCCAGCTCAGGCTCCGCCCACCAACCAGGTGTTGCACTGATCATGTTTGCAGAGGAATTATTGACAACCTGTTGACACCTGGAGTCTTCTGATTGGCTGGGAGGCGGAGCCAAGAGCTGCAGCATCAGAAAACGATGAAGAGTGAGGAAGATGAAGAACAACTTGGAAAAGTTGAAGAAATGGTGAAGTAGCCCCTCCCCCGGTCCGGTCCGGTCCGGTCCACAACTGGAAAGTAACTGCTGCTTCCATTTCTCAGCCCCTACTGAGCATGCTCAGAACAGCCAGCAGTAAATCCTTCCTGATATCCAGGAACCTCCAGAGCAAAGGTCATGACCTTATCTCTGTCTGGCCAATCAGAGGCCAGCTTGTACCTGTGGCTATAAGGGGGGGAGGGGCATTACTCGGGGTCAACAAGGTCAGATCTTGCTGGCAGAGACTCAACGTAGGCGAGAGCGCTCTGCAGGGAGGTGAGACAGTAACCCTCCTCACCAATCAGGAAGCTGGGAAGACAACAGGAAGTTGGTCAATAAACAAGCAGGAAGTGGTTTTAAACTTGATGCTGGAACACAGAAGAAAACATGTCCGTCTCCATGACCATGACTCGCCTCTCATGGATGAACTCCTCTAGGGCGGCGCACTCCGACAGCAGCTGGGGACACTGGCAGCGCAGCGCCACGTAGGACAGGATGGGCAGCAGGTCATCGGCGCCGCTAAGGGGACATGAAGGGACAGAGGGCAGCTGAAATGGTTAATAGCCATCAATTAATTGATTAATCGTTAACAGGAGGGTTAGGGTTGGCCAGAAGAACTGAAACAGTATTAGTTGTCACGATGCTGCGCCTCAATGTGCCGGCCTAGCGCCACCTGGTGGCGGGTTAGCAGGTTTTCTGTATTTCTAATGTCTAAAACGGGACTGAATGGTTAAAAAGAAAAATCTATTTATTACCCTATTAATCAATACGATGATTGATTAATAAAATAACTATAATAGCTATAATGAAAGCTAAATCTGGGCTTGAATTACAACTCCAGAAAAAAGATTTGAAATTATTAGTTCAGATTATTAATCCCCTCTAGAACCGGGTTCTGGAGGGGTTCTGCCGGGTCTTCTTCCCGCTCCAACCGCTTCGTTGACCTCCCGCTTCAGACGTGGCGACCCAGTTTCAGGCCGGGCCAGAGGGGGGGCAGCCGGCTCCAGAACCGGGGCGGTTCCTGCTGGGCCGGGCCGAGTGATTCTGATGAGACCCGACAGCGGCGCTGCCGGGTCACGGAATCCCAGACGGCGCCGGCGGCCCTTCAGAACCGATTTCACGGCTGAAGGAGTCCAAAGCTCAACGAGGTCAAAGACAAGAAAGACTGTTTACTCTAACCGGACCGGCGCCGGCCCGGCAGGTTACTCACATGGCGGCGGCCCGGGAGGCTCCGCCCCCCTGCTGGTTCCGGTAATCCTCGGCGCAGCCACAGATCAGCCGCAGCGTCCGCACTGAGACACAAACAGAACAGAACCGGTAAGCGGGTCCGATTCACGGTTCTGAAGAACCGGTCCATCGGGTCGACAGAACAAGGAGCGGCAGCCGCGGTCCAGAGTGACGCCGCCGGGCCGGTGGTTCTGCTGGGCCTTCACTGGCCTCATAGGAAGTTTGGTTTCTTACTGTTCAAAATTCTGGTTCTGGTTCTGATAGGTCGGGTTCGAGTGTCACGTTGGCCTAACAGAACCGTCCGCAGTGTCGGTTCTGGATCAGCAGAAGCAGCTGCTGGTTATGAAACAGACTGGCTCGACTTGCTAAGAATGTTTTGAAAAAGAACCAAACCACTAAAGGAAACCGGATCAGAACCAAAAAAGTTCTGCTTCTTCTGAGGTCAGACATTTCCAGCCGCACCTTGTGGTCCGCTTCTGTGGTTCTGGTAAACAAAACCACTCTTTTAGAGACCCAGTTCTGATGCCAGCTCTGACTCAGAACCAGAACCAGAACCAGATTTAGGGGCAGCTGGACCTCCAGATTATAATCTGGTTTAATCTCACCTATGCAGTCCAGCTTCCTCTGAGGGCAGCGGGTCTGCACCAGCAGCTTCAGCTCCTGCACCGCCGCCTCGTAGGGGTAGGAACCTTGGAGAGCGCCGGGGTCCTGGGGGAACAGTTTGAGGGGAACACCGACCTCTGCTGGCGAGGCGCTGCAGTACAGCGCCATGTTCCTCTGGAAGAGCCGCTCTCGCTCCCTGAGGACTCGCCTGCAGAACACAGGATGCAGGAAACTTGTCACCCTGCAGTCAGGAGCAACAAATAATCCCAATAAAACATGAAGCACTGAAACTGGTGTTAATTCTGCTAATCCCTGCAGAATAAATGGATCAATACAAATATGGAGCATAAATATTCAGCCCCTTCTTGCCAGTATTTAGTATCAGGCTGTTACTTTCCTACATTCTTCCTTTTCACCTTTTATCAGGTTGGAGCGGCGGGGACACATACTTGATTGGCAGCGCTGAGATCCACCTCCAGGCTCTGACTGTCACCACATGTGCACTGACTAACTGCACTTAAAATCACTATTTACATCACATTCACAGAAATCGGCATCCAACATGTAATTTTGAATGTTTTAAATATACGAAAGGTCAAGGGTCACATGTGACTCCATAAGAAAGGCTCACAGTGCAACTGGAAATGGAGCAAAAGCAGGAAACTTCTAGAAAGCATATTTCTAAGTAGATAGGCCAGATGTTTTGCCCAGTTGGCAGTCAGTGGTGGGGGGCGGAGCTAAAGCCATTTTATACAAAGCGTGTGAATACTTTTTCTAGGCGCTGCATAAAATAAAAACATCTGAACATGTTGATAGCGACGTCTTCTTACGCTCAAACCAGCAGCTGCAGTTCTAGATCGGCCTGTCGCAATAAATCTATTAATCGCAGGATTTATGAAAGTTATCAACCTCATTTTAATTTATCAGCTTTATCGTTTCTTCCTGCCTTTTTCTCTTTCTATTGACACTGAATGAAAACCGGCTGAACTCCAGTGACCTGCACTGACCCTCCCACCTCTTTGCCTTCCTGTAATCTCCAGTTCACGACCTGTTCTTGGAATCGTCGTCCATTTTCAAACCCTGAGAGACCACAGAGTCGCTGACAAAAATGGCAGCCATAACGGTTGGACCAGGATGAACTGGATCGGGTCGGACCGGACCGGATCGGATCGGACCGGATTAGATGTCCAGTCACACAGAAAGAGCAACACACCACATGAAGCGATTTCTCAAACCCGCATTCAGATTTCAGACAGAAAATGGTCTAAAAGCCACAACATCACTGCTGAATTAATGTAAACAAACATGGCGGATGAAGCAACAGCGACGGTTTGTGAGCTTATTTTAAAAGATGTAACAAAAAGAAAAGGCCGTGGATGAAAGAGTGGAGGACCAACCTTTACTTGCTGCACTGTGATGTGGAGGCGAATTATTCTGTTTCAGCTTCATTGGTTAATTAGTATTTACCGTTTTAATGTTTAAAGTTACATCAAGAACAGATAACTAATTTTAAAATCAGCATTAATCAATATTTTACTGGAATCTACCTGCAATGCATGTGGCTGGTGTCAGACTGAATGAAAATCATTTTATCAACTGCAGTGTCAGTTTCGCTCCAACTCCTCCCCTTGTCATTTCCGTGGATATTCTCTGCAGGAATAAACATTTATGTTGTTTCCACATATCATCTCTGACGTCCGCTGGATGTTGGGTTGCATCCAGGCTGCCTTCTCGCTCCCAGTCGGGGAAACCAAACCAACATGTTGAATATGCCTGATTTAGATCGGAGCGGTTCTACCGACTGGACCCGACCAGTCAGAAGATTCTCATCAGGGACAAATATTGTGTTGTTTGACTTTAGCTTTGGGAGGAGAGAAGAATGGCATCAGGTAGGCGGACGTTCCCATCTTTACCTCAATCTATTGATTATTGAAGGGCAGCATACTGACTCCCTAATCTGCACTCTTTCAGTTGAAGATCGCTTTTATTTCCACTTTTATGTTGTTTAGTTTTTATTTAAGTGGATTTGTGTTAATGGTGACTGTTAGAGACTGTGGATGTCTCTGACGATGGCCTTCAGGTGTTTTGTTTACCAGTTCCAGTGTTTCATGTTGTTTTGAAAGTAAAGTGCATCTATATCTGCAGGATATCGCTTGGATTATTACATCATTACCATTACATCAGTTTAAAATGGTCTTCAAACAATATTATCGTTTATCGCAATTAGTTGCGGTACAATTAATTGCTCAGCAAAATTTGTTATGACAGGCCTGGTTCCAGTCCATTTCAAAACCGGGAGGATTAGTCAAGATTTTAATTAGAAAACCAATTTATGAGAAAAAGAAATGAGAAAGTTGTCAGCCTTATGATAAACCCGTAACCCCGAAAACGCTGCCATGTGACGCAACGTCTGCTGGCTTTCCCAGAAAAAAACTAAAACTGAGTTTAGGCTGTTTTAGCCTAAACTGGCTAAAACAGCCTAAACTAGCCATCACTGGCTGAAGGGCGGAGCCGCTGGGCGGAGCCAAGAACAGGTGTAATACCTGAAGAGAGCCAGCAGGGGGCTCCACAGCGGCGTGAAGAAGGCCTCCTCAATGCAGCCCAGACTCAGGTCCTTAAAGGTCGCCGTGTTCAGGCAGTCGAAGGAGAGCAGGCAGAGCGACAGCAGCTGATCTGGAACCGAAGCTCAGGATCAATATTCAGAACCCATCGATCAATAATCGGTCGATCAGCTCACCGATGGCTCCGTGGATGTCTCTGACGATGGCCTTCAGGTGTTCTTTAAGAGCTCTGAACTCCAGCTGCTCCAGTTCAACGGAGGGGTCAAAGGTCAGCTCTGCCTGCAGGTCACCAGAGTCCAGCCGGGACAGGAAGTGCTCCAGGTCCTCGAAGGAGTCGTCCCGCCGCGCCGCGTCCTCGCTGGCCACTGAGCTGCTGGTTCCGGTCGGGTTTCGCTCTGTGACGGGTCGACACACAACATTCACCACCGACACGCCGAGACGATGACCTGCTGGACGGTCGCCGTGGCAATGACCTGCAACGCCCGCATCGTCTCAGCAGGACGACGTCCAACTTTACCAAGTGGATGTTTTACCTGGAGAGAGCCGGACGTGAACGCTGCGAGAAGACCTGAGCAGCAGGGCGGGGCTCTGAGGAAGACTCTGAGGAAGACTCTGAGGAAGGCTCTGAGGAAGACTCTGAGGAAGGCTCTGAGGGAGACTCTGAGGAAGGCTCTGAGGAAGGCTCTGAGGAAGACTCTGAGGAAGGCTCTGAGGGAGACTCTGGGTGACGATGGGGTACAGCTGGTTGTAGATTCTGAACTGATGTTTCCTCAGCAGCTCCACCAGTGGATGATCAGATCTGGAAGAAACCAGGATCATCACTCCAGACTCAGATATAGATGTAGATATATAGATATGTCCTACAATCACCTGAGCAGGTAGGAGAGCAAATCCAGAACCAGCGAGGCGTCTGGGTTCTTCTTGATGTTGGTTCTCCACTCTTTGGGCCAGTCCTAGAATCAGAACCGCCTTTAGCCAGACCACTCTGGGCCCAGCAGAACCTCCAGCCCACCCCGGTGGGTCTCCTCAACTTTTAGATGCATCTCTGCTTCAACACACCAGTCAAATAATGACGTCATCATCAGGACTCCGGAGAACCGGACTGGATCTGGGAGGAGATTCAAGTGTGTTGGACCAGAAACGTCTAAGAGTTGCAGGACTTTGGCCTTCCAGGACCAGGACTGCCCACCCTCAACTAGCAGATGGACCCGTCCCGACTAGAGCAGAACACGGTTGGTACCGAGACGTTCTGCTGGGCCAGCTGGTCATAATGATTTGCTGGGTCACTCACGTGGTCCAGTTCATACTCCAGAACCCGGGCAAAGAGGAGCCGCTGCTCCTCCTCCTCTGCAGTCAGTGCTCCAGAGGCAGCAAACCTTCTGTTGAGACCAAACAGACCAGATTACATCAGATTAGACCAGATTAAATTAGATTAGACCAGATTAGATCAGATTATATCAGATTAAACCAGATTAGATCAGATTAAACCAGATTAGATCAGATTAGACCAGATTAGATCAGATTAAACCAGATTAGATCAGATTAAACCAGATTAAATCAGATTAGACCAGATTAGATCAGATTAAACCAGATTAGATCAGATTATCCAGGCTCCAGAGAGGTCTGCACGTCGATCCACTCCTGGATCAACCTGCAGACTCTGGTTCTGGTTCTGCTCTGCATCAGAACCAGAACCAAACCTGGAGAAGCAGCATTCAGCTTCTATTCATCACAGATCTGGAACAAACTTCCAGAAAACTGCAAAACAGCCAAAACCCTGAGTTCCTGTCGGTCCGAGTGGTCGGTCGGTCCGGCTCCCCTGCTCCCAGGTGAGGATGATGATGTGCTGCTACCTGTTAGCTTCGTCCTGCAGCCTCTGCCTCCTCTCCTCCACCTTCCTCTGCAGCTGCTCTTCACGTTGAGGAAAGATCAGAGTTCAAGCCGCTTTAGCATAAAATCTGCTTCACTCACATCTCTGATTTCTGAAACTGGTTTATGATCAAATGTTTTAGAAGATTTCTAGACTTATAGATTCTATAATTCTGACTAAATGTTGTCAGATTTACCATTGAAGTGTTTGGAGGCTTCAATTCAAAAATGCACATTTTATGTATCTATTACAGTGGGACAAGTCAAAGTAAATTTATGACATCCTTTTTTCTGACCAGTCATAATTCTAAATCGAGATATCTTAAATCTTTCAGATTCCTGCAGATTTTAAAATTTTAATGAAAAAAAGATTTCTGAAAATTAATTTCTTCTGTTTTTAAGTGCAATGGCTGTTGGAATCGCAGTATTCAGTCACAAAGTTTGTGTCGTCACATCCTGCAACACGGAGCTCTTTCTGGATTGTGGCATTTCGGACTATTTTGTGCCAGAAACGCAGCAGTTTGGCGGCTTAACATCGACAAATGTAGCTTTGATGAGTCAAATCTGTGAATCTTGTGGCATTGTTTGAGATACTTTGGAAATCTAATCTTTATTCTGTTTAGCTCTATTTTATAAATATGTCTAAACTGTGAGAATTTCTGTTTGTTCAGTCACTATTTAATAAAACTGATAAAAATAATGTAAAACTTTTGATGATGTTTTCAACTCGGCATATCATAATAAATTTAAGATGATCAATCAACTTTAGATGAACTCAATCGATTACTGTCTTGAGCCACCGGTACGTGGCTCAAGTTCTAGAAACCAGCAGATTAGAACTCGGCCTCCATCTTGGAAGCGCCCAGTGAAAGGATACGGCGTCCTGTCTGGCTCTGGCGATGATCAGATTCTCCATCATCTGCCGCTGCAGAGAAAGAGTCTGCGGCAGAAAAATTAGAGGAAAACATTTATGAGAAATATTTGAATCCAAAACTCAGATATTTGAAACTAACTTTTCAAAGCAAAGAGAACCAGATTCCTAAACAATGTCCAGACAGAAACCAGACACGTTTTCCTTAAACAATGAAAATAGGAAACACTACAGAAATATTTCTATTAACTTAATATCGGAGAATAAGGAGCAAATTGTTGACCCTGTATAAGGGAATGATGAACACGGACACGGCGTTACTTCTTTCACTTCCAGTGTTGTAATGTATTTTCAAAAATAGTTTCAAACATTATTTAACCACATACTGAGTGCTGAACATTGTACAGAAACATTATGGTTATCGCCATACAGTAATAAGAAATGTAGCACCGGCCGCTGCTAGCCAGAAAGCTAATGCGGGTGTAACGCTTAATAAAACTCAAACTACTGCAAAGAACTCAAAGACTCCCTGCTTATTCGGCAAACAGAATAAACTTATACATACAGATCTGAACCTTATAAGTTGTAATTTTACCTGTATAAGGGAATGGTGAACACAGACACGGACACGACGTTACTTCTTTCACCTCCAGTGTTGTAATGGAGGAACAGAAGTAACGCGTTCCACTACCCCGAGTCAGACCAGACCAATCGAGACACGATCAGACACGATCAGAGACGATCGGTAAACAGACAAAACTAATCGAGACACGATCCGGAAATAAACTCTCAAAATTTTAGATCTGATATTAATAACATTAAATGCGTATTATACCCTGCAACACAATCAGCAGAAATACAGCAAACAAAACAGAAATAAGAACAGAAACCGAGTCTCCATCAGTTGATGATTAAATAAAGTCCAGAGAACGATCTGGACCGGTTCCAGATCTCAGAGATGGTTCTGCAACAGCAGGAAACTTAGCTGCAGCCAGGAGGCCCAAAATAATCCGGAATAAAATGCCATGATGACCAATATGAATGAATTGAACATCGTTTTATATTTTCATGTAAAACAACATCAAGTGTAAAACTGTAGATGAATGTAAACTGAGCAGCAGACAAAGTGTGGATGATAACTGCTGCAATATTTGCAAATATTGCAGCAGTTATTATCCACACTAAACTGATAACCAGAACCAAAACCGTGCGTCTGAGCCGCAAAGGTCAGAGGTCAGCAGCTCTTTAGATCCACCAGGTGAGGTGATTGCTCTGTTTGATCACCTGCAGCATCTGAAGATGAAACAGGCTTTTAGCTTATCATATTACTGATCGCTTCATCAGAAAACAGAGAAAATCCATCAAGTCCTCCTGAAAACCCCACAGGCGTAAATCCCAGGAGGGGTCGCGGAGTCCGGACCCCCAAATCTCAGAAAAGTCTAGATCATTGAAGAAACATTTACATTTAAATAACTTCAATATGAAAAGCCAAACAAAACAAGGAACAAAGTAAATCTGCCATTTATCTCAGAAAAAAATAAGAATGAATTTTTAGGTCCCCCCTACCATTATTAGAACAATGGTTCAGTCCAAAGTGTGGGCGGAGCAACATGGTGGTCAGAGCTAGCTGCTAGCTGTTAGCTGTGACTCTGCATCACTAACATGAAGCCCTCTTGATCTAACAAAGATCAGACTGCAGTTTATTTTATTACTTTGACTGATTCATGATGAGCTGCCTCATTAGCAAAACTGCTTCACAGACTGGAGCTTTTTTGTCAAAGGCGGCAAACATTCATATTTAACTCTTTAACTTCTGGGTGTTAAGAATATAAAGAGGAATAACTTCAAGTATTGATGGGGAAGTCCGGACCTCCAGTAGCAGTCAGTCCAAAGAGGCCTCTGACTGAAGACATGCTAACAGCTGGACATCCAGACAGCAGAGATGTTAGAAGCTCTGCAGTGTGATTCATAATTCAAGATAATTCAAGAGATTTGAGGCGTCAGGCTGGTCTCTCAGCTTCAGAGGTTCTCAGAGATCCAGGCGGCTGTTCGGGTTTTTCCAGGATGTAAATCCCATGTTGAAAATAAGAATTTTAAAGTAGCGCAATAGTACACAATAGTAACCTTTACGTTAAGAGAAATAAAGATCCAAACTAAAACAACTGCTCACTCTCTGAACTTATATAAATCCTATAGGGAGGGTTTTACAGAAAGACAGGCCTGGACTCTTTAACTGATCTATAGACAGGGAGTCTGTCTGCCAGACAATTAACAAATTCCTAGTGTGGTTGAAAAGTTCACTAGGATCTCAAAACTTTTTATGAATAATTTTATCCATACTAGAATTAAATATATTTCTTTAAGCATGTTTTGAATTAGTTAGTTTTAGATCCAAACTTATAGTTAGTATTTAGCATTAGATTTTGTTTCAGTAAAACACAAACACGTTCTAGTTCAATCACTGAGGCAGAAAACTAAAACAGACAGAGGTCGTAAATTTAGCCGAGGGAGGGTTTGCAGGAGACGCCTGGTACGGCAGAGACCCAGTTTGACAATCCATATATCTGCCTTTGGGCTCTTTAGCAGAGGCAATAAAAGTAACATTACGACAAAGGAAAACACACCTCCTAATGCATATATTTAAATTTAGAGAAAGGCACAGGCTTATAAAAGTTTTCGTTTGCAACAAAGAATTCGAATTCCTTTCTGCCCGAGTCCATGATTCCTGGAAAATGCATTTTCTGTAATTGCTTTCTTTCAACTCGCGCAGTTATTTCTGTTTTGTCACATCTTGGACTTTTGATAATCTGGGTGAGATTGCTTAATTTAACATTCCTTTGTGCATTGATTTTCTCTGGATAAAACCTAGAATCTTCTGATGTATGATTGCTCTTTCTCACTGCGCATATTGAGGCACAAGAATCCGTGATCAGAGGAATGAATTAACGAGCTAAATCAAGTTAGCAGATTAAATAAAAAGAAATACATTTAACTATTTCAACCCATTAGATGAAAACGTGAAGTTGGAACTTAACTGGGTAAACTGGGTAAACTGAATCTGAACCAGAATTTCACCGTTTAATCTGGAAGCACTCAGACTTTATGGACCGGAAGTTCTGGTTCCGAGTGGTTCGAGTTCGGTCCTAGTTATATGTGGTTCCGGTTCTGTGTGAGGCTCGTTACCGTGTCTGCAGCGGAACTCGTACCTGTCAGTCTGGACCGAACCGGCCTGCAGCAGTGATCCAACACTTTACCTTCATGAACATCGTCAGCTTCCTCCAACATGGCCGCCGCTCCACCTGGTTCCGAAACATTTTCCGAATCTAAACGGACATTTTTCCTTCCATCCAAAATGTTTCTGACGAACCAGAGAAAGACCCCAAGAACTGGTTCGGCTCACCATGGTATTTCTCTGGTTCTATTGGGTCACTTGGTCCTTATCTGGAGTTCAATAAGCCCAGAGTCCAGGTAAACCCGACCTTTCACCCCCAGCTTCATCAATAACCGACCTGACTCCGAAACGGAACCACTACAGTTTAAGAATAAAAGCCCGGAAGTTATCTTGGTACATTTCAGATCCAAAAGGAATGTGCTTCTATTTGGACCGGATCAGAATCAGATATCCTGAAGTCCATCTGCTGCTGGCAGAACCATCGACTGGAATGGATCCATCAGAACCCAACATGCGTTACTGAGTCTGTAGCGCCCCCTAATGCAGGTCCAAAACACTGGAATGAAACGGCTTCATGACCTCCAGAGTGGATCGGTTCTCCAGAACCTTCCCGACCCTATCATTGTGATCAGGTGCTGCAGCAGAGGCTCATCTAAACGCTGCAGGACACGGGCCTCACCTGTGATCTAGTGGATCACCAAAACACACTAGAAAACACGCTGCGGCGCTGGAGAGAAGGTTCTGGTTCTGTTTGTGTCGACCATTGTCTGGAGGTTTTGGTCCTGAAACCTCAGGGTCTCATCTTGGGTTTCTGCAGATGGTTCTGTTGGTTCTTCTCTGTGCAGCTGGGTCATCGTCAGTTTGTCCGAGGTTCTGGATCCTCCAGCTCAGAGGTTAACGCTGTTCCAAAAGGTTCTGGTGAAGAAGGTCCCAAGGTCTCAAAGTTCTGGTCCCGAGATCAGGATTGTGACAGAAGAACCAGAACCAGGTCCAATCATATGGACTTCAGAGATCAGGAGAAGATGCTCCTTCACACAGAGGTTCATGATGAGGTCCCAACTCCTCCCAAGACCAACTGGACCAACTGGACCAACGTTCTGTGGAAAACCTTTCCACTTTGACATTGAAGGTCTTAATCCTGTTGATCTTGACTGGCTGAAGCAATAAAGGGGGGGGGGTGAAAACTTTTTCCAGGAACCGTAAATTGACCCCTGGGATTCAGACAGGAAGTGTTGACAGAGATCGGCTCTGCAAGGTCCAGACTCACCAAGGAGGTTTTCTGGGACGCCTGACCCGGAGCCAGCCGGGCCACACGAGCCTCATAGGACGCCTGGAGCTTCTGGTTCTGCCGGGACGCTTCCTCCACCGGGGTCAGCGTCCTGCAGGGGACACATCCAGGACACAAGAGGACAATCAGTGGACACATCGGTCCGCTATAGTCTATGGAACCAGTGGAACCAGCACCAGCGATTGGGACATTACTCTGGGGACTTACTTCCTGCCGGAGTCGTGTGAAGCCACAGTCTGTTGTCTCTGGAAGACATCGGGAGGAGGGAAAGAGGACGGCTGTCCACCATCATCTGACAGACCAAACCGAGACGAAGCATCAACCTGTCCCTCAGCAGCAGAGGCTGGGGACAAGATGGGACAGGAAGAGCCAAGATGAGAATGTCAGAGCCCTAACCTAGGAGGAAGTTAGCTGTGATTGGCCGCTGAGTTTATGCCAGGGCTGCTTCTGATTGGAGGAGAGGACTCACTGCTGTCTCCAGCCTTAGGACCAATCTCTGATTGGTCAGCTGAAGAACAGGAAGCATTGTGGAGGACAGGGGCGGCAGGATGGACTGAGCGCTTCCCTATGAAGGACTTGGCTCGGTCCAGACATTGCTCCGCCAGACGCAGCATCCGCTCCACCTCCACCTGCGTCTCTGAGACGGACAAACAATCCGGGCCAAAACCCATGAAAAGTTCCGCTTGTTCAGTTCTAAAAGTCAAATCATTTATTCTACAAGATTAATGTGTCATAAAGTAAAACATTCCACATTTCTTCCTGTTTCATAATTCTGACCTCCAGCTAATAAAAATGTTCAGGTTATCTGAAAATTACAGCAACTAATACAAGATTATAATTCAGAAAGTGACCCTGAACGCCCCACTGAGGGACAGGAAAGCACATTTCTATTCTGTTCTGTAGAGCAGGAGGTCCAGGTTCTGTCCAGGTTCTGGTTCTTCAGGAAGTCCAGGTTGACCTCAAGCTGGTCTTCTTTGTTGGTTCTGGCATCTCTCATCTTCTTCTGACGTTTTAAGCGGCTCGACCCGACTGCTCTGACTTCTGGATGCAGTTTATCATCAGTTCTTGGTGCTGCAGCTGCTGAATTGAATTGTCCTGATTTTCACCTTTCTCCACCAGGGGGCGATAAAACTGGTGTGTGAACCTGGACAGGTATACCAGGTGAAGCCGGAGGAACTCCAGCAGCATTTCTCCCTCCTCACACTTTTCACTGAACACAGCTGCTAATCCGGGTCATCGCGCTATTCTGAGATGTGATTATATTAATGAAATAAATGCCAGTAAATTATGATTTCAAGTCTGGAAATACTGAAGTAGCTAAAATGAAGTAGCTCACTGGAAACTACTGAACATGAAACGAATGATTTGAAGCTTAAATTCTACAAAAATAAATATATTATTTAAGATGCAGCTAAGCTGAGATGTTTGAGGCTCACCTTCTTGGAGAAGAACGTGTGATATGTAGTTGATCGTTCGCAGGTATTGGCAGTAAGCTTCCTGCAGACAGAAACACATCAATGCTAACATCTGGTCATGAGTTTCACACCAGATCAACCTGCTTATTTCCTTCAGAAATAACCAGAACAAACATTCTCTAAACAGTTGAAGTCAAAATAAATGTTACTTTATTCAAAAACAGATTTATCTCCATCAATATTCAGTCCAATCAAATCATCTCAGATTGATTTGTTCCCCATTTCGGAAACAAATCAATCTGAGTCAGAATCTGCATTTGGTCCAGTCCTTTATTCCAACTGGTTAAACTGGTTCTACATCAATAAACCCAGCAGAGCATTGAGGAGTCATTCCTCCTGGAGCAGCAGGGGGCGACAGCGGAGAGAAAAAAACTTCCCTTTAACAGCGAAGAAGTCCAGCAGAACCAGAACCACAACTGAGCCAAATAAAATAAAGATCTAAATTTATCAGGCAGCTGGAAAGAAAAGTGAGCAGGTTTCAGGTTTATCCCATCAAGAGACTGAGGAAGGAGAGGACAGGAGAGGTCAGAGGTCAGAGAGTCTGGAGGGTCCAGTGATCCAGAGGACGGTTAATATACGCTACAAATTTACCATCAGAGGGTGAACTACCACCTCCAGGGGTAAATGTAGGGAGCCTCCCCACATCTATTACCTCCAGGGGTAAATGTAGGGAGCCTCCCCACATCTATTACCTCCAGGGGTAAATGTAGGGAGCCTCCCACATCTATTACCTCCAGGGGTAAATGTAGGGAGCCTCCCCACATCTATTACCTCCAGGGGTAAATGTAGGGAGCCTCCACACATCTATTACCTCCAGGGGTAAATGTAGGGAGCCTCCACACATCTATTACCTCCAGGGGTAAATGTAGGGAGCCTCCACACATTTATTACCTCCAGGGGTAAATGTAGGGAGCCTCCCCACATCTATTACCTCCAGGGGTAAATGTAGGGAGCCTCTTCTGCCCCAGTCTTACCAACATTATGACCATCAGGCTTCCAGCTGGTTTCCTGGTTTTTCTGAACTTGACAGCTGGAGCAGCCCCTCCCCCCATGTTTGTTTACATTCCATACATCGTCACTTCCGGTCAGCTTCAGCCGGAGCTTTGATGCTGCCATCCAGGTGGCAGCCGCCTACCTGCTGCCGGTCTCCCCCCTCCAGCTGAATCGCCTGCTTCGCCATCTTCATGGCGCTCTGCAGCGGCTTCCCTCCGCCGTCCGCCATACTCTTCCTCCTCTTCTTCAGCTTCACGGGCTGCTCACTGAGGTGCACGGCGCCCTCCGGTGGCCATGCAGGTTGTTTCCCAAATTATTAATAGCGTAGCAAACAAACTTGAAAAAAAGAGATGAAAAATATGAACTTAAAATGTGGAAATGGGCTCCATGCATAAATAGAGCTGCAGATGAAAGAGACAGACAGACGGACCCTAGATTGGATCATAAATGTACAGTAGTGCTATGCGTTACTAAACGGATCTAAAACCTCAGAAACATTAACAATAAAAACAATAATATTTAGTTTTAAGTTGCTGTGAATAACATTAATTGATCAATATTAATGTTGGTTGACTTCATTATATAAATTACAATACTATATTACAAATATAACCAAAAGTGATAAAAAAAATTATATAGTCTAATAAAAGTGCCTCATATTTTTATTTTTACAGTATACCGGTAAAGTACCGGTACTTCACCGGTACGTGGCGCTCTCAGCTGTTTGTCCTTCCCTCTCTGTGCTAGTACTTCCGGGTCCTGATGTTTACAGTGGGAGCCGCTCAGCAGCTGCGGACTTTGTTTGTTTGTTTGTTTGTTTGAGTGGCTCAGAAAGTCACGTGGTTCAGCGAAACATGTTCAGCTGCTGCTGCTCTCTGCGCATGACAACTGCAGGCTCTAATTTCTAACTCTGGTGCTGCGCAGACTCACTGAAGCTAACCAAGCTAACCAAGCTAAGCTGCTGACGTCAGGTCGGTATGTTTTGATGAAAATCAGCAACTTTCAGAAATCTGGAGATTTAATCAGAGGCTGTTTTATGATCGTATTTCCAGTCCACCATTTACTGTAATGCAGGACGACAGTCTCTGAGTAAACCTCCAGCTCAAATCCAGAAACGGGAATTTTTTCCATTTTTCTCCAGATGTTTCACGTCAGTGGCTCACAGACACGTTTTCTCCTCAAGCTGCAGAAGATTCAGATCTGAAGGTCCAGTAACGCAGAAACCATGAAGAAGAAACCGCGGCGTCTAAAGATCTCATCGCCCCAGACAGCCGCCGATGGATGCAGCAGGAAGACTGGAGCCAGGGAGACTCTGCTGACCTCAGTCCCCTCAACCACAGACGACTTGTCCCCTGAAAGGACGGCGATGGACACAAACTCACACTTCAGCGTGAAAAAAGACAACGAAGAGAAAGATCCAGAGAGCAAATCCAGATGTTCGGGTGAGTTCAACCTGACCTCAGACCTGCAGAGAAGGTTTTATCTGGAATAACAGTTCGCTATGACATGAATAACCTGAGTCTGGATGTAAATATTGGCTCATTTTGGAAAATCATCTTTACCCACCTGTCCATCGGAGAGACACAGGACTAACCCAACAGCTGTGGTTCTGGATAGGGGGAGGAAGCTGGAGTACCCAGAGAGAACACAGGCAGGCAACAGGACATTGAACACATAACTTAATCCCTACCAGTTGGCTACCTGCAGAATAGATTAGGATTAACCCAACAAACGATCTTTTCCTTCGTCGGTCAGAAGGTCCCCGCTCCAATCCAACAGGAAACGACCTGCGTCTGATTTTCAGTTTTGTCTCCCAGTAGGAAGGACGTCCAGCGCTGTCTGTCGTCTCTGCCATGGAAAGTTCTCCCCGCGCAGTCTAAGGCATGTCTTCAGCAGGTGGCAGCGGCCCCTGGACCCGGCCGCCCCCTCGCCCCTCCCGTTCCATTCGGACTTCCAGCGTTTGGTCGGGGTCCGATTGGACCGGGATCCGCGGCTCTCAGACTTCATCTGCAAAAGGTGCCACACGAAGTTCTACAAGTGCCACAGCATCCTGCGGCGGTTCCTGCAGAGGGTCAACCTGCCGGCGCTCGGAACCGGGAACCGGTGAGGCGATTAGCGTGTCTCTACAGGTCCGATTCACAGAGAGAAGTTCCGAACCTGAAGCAGGTTTGTTTGTTTCCAGGAATAACCTGAAGGGTCCGAACGCACCGGCAAACGATTCGCCAGGAAGTAAAGAGACTTGTCTCTCAGAGGTTCTGGTTCTGGTCCGGCTGCTACCTGGTGTTGTCACCGTTCTCTCTCTTCCTCCAGAACCAGCGTGTTTCCCGTCTTCAGAACCGCCATGCTTCGCCTCTGACCCAAAGTGCCTTCACAGCCTGGTGGGCTGGGCGCACCGCCACGGTGAGGCCTGCACTTCCTGCCCCGACCTGAAGGAGGTGCTGGAGGGGCGGTGCGGGGGCTCCCTGAGGGCCATATGGGGGTGCGCCGACGGCCATCGTTACATCATGGACACTCAGAGCGCCACCGCCGGTTACCTGGGAGACCAGGTGGGCTACTGGGGCGGAGCCTCGTGGAGGCGGAGCAACGAAGAGGATGGAGACGAGAAGGTTCTGGATGGACGGATGAACCCAGAAACCCAACAGAACCAGGACGACTGGGCTGAAGGTGAGAACCTCATCAGATCTGCAAAACGCCGGGCTCAGCGTTTCTGAGCCGCTGGGGTTACTGCGAACTGAGTCCGGTCCGGTTGGTTCTTCCAGGCTTTCCTGAAGAGGCGACATCTCCGGCAGCTGCCCCACTCCAGGACCGGACCGCCGACAGCGACATGTCGGACAGGTGAGTCTCTTTGGTCCTGTCCAGGTGTACCGGACTGAACCTATTGGACCGGTCAGACTGATGTGCTTCTGTGGTTTCAGGGCAATCTCTGAGGAGGAGCTCCAGGAGAACCGGACCCGGTCCGATGAGGAGATGTTTGACCCAGTCCAGAACCAGAGGTACGCTGGTGTCGTCTGCCCCGCAGAACTTTTTCTGATTCATAAAAGCATGTTTTAGAAACTGGACCTGAGTTCAGTTTCTGGCGCTGGTCTGCAGTAGAAGTGAGGTTCTGACCATCCTCTCTTCCTCCAGAACCTCTAGGCTCAGCAGAACCCGGAGGAGGCAGAACCCAAAAACCTCAGAGGAATCCAGAGTCCGAAAAAAACCTGGACCCAAACCGGGCTGGAAGAACCAGTTCCGGCCCAAAGGGTGCGTAGAGGTTTCCGAAGCCATCATCGGTTCTGACTGGTTTGGTTCTGACCCATTTGGTTCTGCTGTTTTTAAGGGAGGAGCTTCCCAACATCTACAAGTGTCCGTACCAGGGCTGCACTGCCGTCTACCGAGCGCCTGACGGGTTAAAGGTCAGAACCATTTGTCTGGTTCTGGTCCAGAGCCTCAGTCTTTTCGGACCTGGCTCTCATTCTGGTTCCGACCCGCTGCTCTTGTTCCCCCAGAAACACATTAAGGAGCATCATGAGGACATGAGGGAGCGGCCGTGTCCCCATCCCGGCTGCAACAAGGTGTTCATGATTGACCGCTACCTGCAGAGGCACATCAAGCTCATCCACACAGGTAAGGCCACCAGGCGGGGCAAACCAGGCGGGGCGGGGCAAACCGGGAGGGGCAGGCCTGGCAGCCAGAACTTTCTTCTGGTGGTGGTTCTGGAACGTAGCTGGTATCAGCTGTTGTCATGGAGATAGTTCTCTGTTTGGGTCAGTCGCCATGGTGACGGCGGGGGGGGGGGTAGGGGTAGGGTAGGGTTAGTGTAGGGTAGGGGGGGTAGGTAGTGGGGGTAGGGTAGGTTAGTGTAGGTAGTGTAGGGTAGTGTTAGTTAGTGGGGTAGGTTAGTGTAGGGTAGGTTAGTGTAGGGTAGGTTAGTGTAGGGTAGGTTAGTGTAGGGTAGGTTAGTGTAGGGTAGGTTAGTGTAGGGTAGGTTAGTGTAGGGTAGGTTAGTGAAGGGTAGGTTAGTGTAGGGTAGGTTAGTGTAGGGTAGGTTAGTGTAGGGTAGGTTAGTGTAGGGTAGGTTAGTGTAGGGTAGGTAGTGTAGGTAGGTTAGTGAGGGTAGGTTAGTGTAGGTAGGTTAGTGTAGGGTAGGTTAGTGTAGGGTAGGTTAGTGTAGGGTAGGTTAGTGTAGGGTAGGTTAGTGTAGGTTAGTGTAGGGTAGGTTAGTGAGGGTAGGTTAGTGTAGGGTAGGTTAGTGTAGGGTAGGTTAGTGTAGGGTAGGTTAGTGTAGGGTAGGTTAGTGAAGTAGGTTAGTGAAGGGTAGGTTAGTGTAGGGTAGGTTAGTGTAGGGTAGTGTAGGGTAGGTTAGTGTAGGGTAGGTTAGTGTAGGGTAGGTTAGTGAGGGTAGGTTAGTGTAGGGTAGGTTAGTGAAGGGTAGGTTAGTGTAGGGTAGGTTAGTGTAGGGTAGGTTAGTGAGGGTAGGTTAGTGTAGGGTAGGTTAGTGAGGGTAGGTTAGTGTAGGGTAGGTTAGTGTAGGGTAGGTTAGTGAAGGGTAGGTTAGTGTAGGGTAGGTTAGTGTAGGTAGGTTAGTGTAGGGTAGGTTAGTGTAGGGTAGGTTAGTGAAGGGTAGGTTAGGGTAGGGTAGGTTAGTGGTAAGTGTAGTAGGTTAGTGAAGGGTAGTTAGTGGGTAGGTTAGTGTAGGTTAGGTAGTTAGTAGTTTAGTAGGTTAGTGTAGGGTAGGTTAGTGAAGGGTAGGTTAGTGTAGGGTAGGTTAGTGTAGGGTAGGTTAGTGTTAGTGTAGGGTAGGTTAGTGTAGGGTAGGTTAGTGAAGGGTAGTGTTAGGGTAGGTTACTGTAGGGTAGGTTAGTGTAGGGTAGGTTAGTGAGGGTAGGTTGTAGGGTAGGTTAGTGAGGGTAGGGTAGTGTAGGGTAGGTTAGTGTAGGGTAGGGTAGTGTAGGGTAGGTTAGTGAAGGGTAGGTTAGTGTAGGGTAGGTTAGTGTAGGTAGTGTAGGGTAGGTTAGTGTAGGGTAGGTTAGTGAAGGGTAGGTTAGTGTAGGTAGGTTGTTAGTGTAGGGTAGGTTAGTGTAGGGTAGGTTAGTGTAGGGTAGGTTAGTGAAGGGTAGGGTAGTGTAGGGTAGGTTAGTGAAGGGTAGGGTAGTGTAGGGTAGGTTAGTGTAGGGTAGGTTAGTGTAGGGTAGGTTAGTGAGGGTAGGTTAGTGTAGGGTAGGGTAGTGTAGGGTAGGGTAGTGTAGGGTAGGTTAGTGTAGGGTTGGGTAGTGTAGGGTAGGTTAGTGTAGGTAGGTTAGTGTAGGGTAGGTTAGTGTAGGGTAGGTTAGTGAAGGGTAGGTAGTGTAGGGTAGGGTTAGTGTAGGGTAGGTTAGTGTAGGGTAGGTTAGTGTAGGGTAGGTTAGTGAGGGTAGGTTAGTGTAGGGTAGGTTAGTGTAGGGTAGGGTAGTGTAGGGTAGGTTAGTGTAGGGTTGGTTAGTGTAGGGTAGGTTAGTGTAGGTAGGTTAGTGTAGGGTAGGTTAGTGTAGGGTAGGTTAGTGAAGGGTAGGTTAGTGTAGGGTAGGGTAGTGTAGGGTAGGTTAGTGTAGGGTAGGGTAGTGTAGGTTAGGTTAGTGAAGGGTAGTGTAGGGTAGGTTAGTGAAGGGTAGGTTAGTGTAGGGTAGGTTAGTGTTGGGTAGGTTAGTGAAGGGTAGGTTAGTGTAGGGTAGGTTAGTGAAGGGTAGGGTAGTGTAGGGTAGGTTAGTGTTGGGTAGGGTAGTGTAGGGTAGGTTAGTGTAGGGTAGGTTAGTGAAGGGTAGGTTAGTGTAGGGTAGGTTAGTGTAGGGTAGGTTAGTGTTAGTGTAGGGTAGGTTAGTGTAGGTTAGTGTTAGTGTAGGGTAGGTTAGTGTTAGTGTAGGGTAGGTTAGGGGTATTGTCTAGATTTTCCACTGTTTTCAGTTATTATGGGATTCGTCCTGTTGACGATTTTCCTGCCTATTGAAACGGTTTCTTCCAGAGGAGAGGAACTACATCTGTGATCAGTGCGGTCAGACCTTCAAGCAGCGGAAACACCTGTCGGTTCATCAGATGAGACATTCAGGAGCCAAACCGCTGCAGTGAGTCCTGGTGGTGGCGCTATAACACACCTTAGGAAAGAATATCTACACTTTACCTGTCGCGTCACTCGTGTTTTAGGGGCCTCTGCAGAAATATGGCACATAGATTCATGATATATTTTGTTTAAAAAAGGACAAAAATGTTCTAATGAAAACCACGTAAAAAATAGTGAAATGATTAAATTTCTAAAACCATCGGAAGGAACTAAAGAGGTAATTAGCATTGTTTAATTTATTGGTAGGAAGCATTGATTAAAATCAGTTTTCCTGCTGCTGATGAAACATTCATAGCTACGAATAGTTTTTTTCCAGTTATTTTAATTGGACTTTTTAAAATAACAGGATAAAATAATAAGTGAAATAATAAACAGGAATCATTTAATTGTAGTTTCTTGTATCAGACTGATGGTGGCGCTCCTTTAGTCTCCCCACCACCAGCCTCGATGTCTGAAACATTGGACCCAGTACCGACCAGAACCTGACCCGGTCCCTGTCCTGCAGGTGCGAGGTGTGCGGCTTTCAGTGCCGCCAGCGGGCGTCCCTCAAGTATCACATGACCAAACACAAAGCCGAGTCCGACCTGGCCTTCGAGTGCCGGACCTGCCGAAAGCGCTTCGAGAAACCACACAACCTGAACGTCCACATGTCCATGGTCCACCCGCCGGTTCTGGCTGAGGCCCGGCAGGCCGGCCCGGTTCGCCTGCAGACCATCGGCCTCACCGGAGAGCTGGTCCCCCAGGACCAGGACAGATGACAGCCGGGGGTCGGGTCCAGAGGAGTCTGCAGCTGGACGCAGTTTTTCACAAGGTCCTTCAGACGGAACCAGGAAGCAGAACTCAGCCGGGTTCGTCTGAATCTCCCTGTCGAAGCAACAGACCAATATTTGATCCCATCCATTATGATGGGCGTTTAGAAGTACAGCTGCAGCCGGCCCTTATTACCATTTCATAACAATGACGCTTTATTTTGAAGGTCTGTTTTTTCAGCTCTGTGCAACATTTCGGTGGAGCATCAGTTAAACCAGATTTCTAAATCCTCACGGTTTTCTATTTATTCATTATACTCCATGACTGATGAAGTCGCTTGTTCAGATTTCTCTGGATTATTTGGGTTTAAAAGCCCAGAACTCGGTTCAGTTTGATCAGATATTAATGTTCAGATGAGCAGGATGTGGAGTTCCTGTTTCAGCCACCAGAGGGCGCTGGAGTTCAGTAATGTGATGCTATTGCAGGACTTAAGTCTTTGGTTCTGGAATCACTCCTATTATTCCAGATTCACGTTTCTAACAATTGGGCTGCTGGTCAGACAATGAACTATTTAAAAGCTGATGTTTGCAGTTGATGCACCAGGTGGCGCTGTACTTAATGTCAGCAGCAGGAAGGAGAAGGAGGAGGAGGAACTGGTTTTATTCTATTTAGGATTCATGTTACTGCAGAAAAATCTGAAAAATAAAAAGTTTCCATGAAACCGAGTCGACTGTTTGACATTCAGTATCAGGTCAGCTGGTTCTGGTTCCGGTCCGCTAGAGGAAGCCCGCCCTGGTATGGTCCAGGTGAACTGAAAGACTTGCAGCCAGTTCTGGATCGAGGTCCGCACAGCGAGTCTCCAACTGGACCAGAACCAAGACAGGAAGAGGAAAAGGAGGTCAGTGGGGGCGGCGCCGGGCCGGGCCGGGCCGGGTCGGGCCGGGCCGGGTCAGGAGCTTACCTGTCTCCACTGGCTGCAGCTCATGGCCGCTGCCGGCGCCTGCTGGATCAAACTTAGGACAAACTGCTTGATGCAGTCCAGAACCCGGGTCGGTTCCGCCTGCAGAACCGGACCACAGTTAGAGTTGGTTCTGATGGTTCTGTGTCCGGACAGAACCTCATTCACCTGGCATGCCGAGGCGGGTGCCTCTCCGTCCAGGAAGAGCCGCAGCGCTGCCAGGTACCACAGGGTGGTGCTGTGGAGAAACCCGGGGCAACGCAGCGCCCTCTGGTGGAAGGCGGCGCTCTGCTGCTGCAGCAAACTGAGAACATGGAAAAAAAAGTAAGTACACCCTTACAATAAGTTTACATGTCGAAACGTTTAAGTTTTTTACGCTGATTCAGGAGGAAGGAAAGGAGATAAAGAGCCCGGTTCCCCAGCAGAACCAAACCGCCGCGGGAAATGGGTCGGTTTACCTGCAGACTGCCCAGGGCATTAACCGGCTGCAAACATCAGAGACCGTCAGCGTGACCGGGTCCGGTTCCAGTTCCAGGTCGGGTTCTGGAGAACATCAACAGCACAGATCTTTAGGCTACAGAACATCCAGAGCCGGAGATCCGGAGCAGCCCAAGTAAACGATACCGTTGGACCCGAAGAGCAGCAGCCACTCAGCCGAGTGCACCAGAACCCCCAGAAGTTCTGAGCAGAACCATTTGGACCTTCCAGAACTTTTCTCCTGCAGAGAGAAACCAATGAGCCAGAATGATTCAGCAGAGCAGAACGTCGGTTCTGTTGGACTGGACCCACCTGAGGATCCAGAAGTTCTGACAAGAAGTCCGTCACAAAAAGAAAGAGCAGAGAAACTAGAACCTGGAGGGTGGGAGCAGAACCTTCAGATTGTTGTAATTGGGTCGGTTCTGACCCAATTACAACAAACCCGGTCAGACTCTCACCTGCTGGTTCTCAGCCTCTCTCAGTCCATCCAGAACCTCTCTGAAGTTCTGCTGGCATTCCGCCCCGCCTCTGAAGGCGCCATGCAGGCTGGCGGCTTGGACCAGAACCGGACCCGGAGGGATCTGGACCAGAACCGGACCTACTCTCAGACTGCAAAAGACAACAGAACAACATTGAGGCCGGTCCATGTAGGCCAGTCTTTCTCAAACTGGACCGCGGGCGCCCCTAGTGGTCCAACAGGTACTGCATGGAAACAGCCGTTGATTAGCCGTGACGTCAGCTGAAATGCGACGCTACAAGAAGCTCAGCGATGACTGCAGCTAAAAACAAGCATGGAAAGTGGCTGAAGACCGGCTGCTCAAAAGAAAAGCTGAAGTCTTTTATTTTGAGGAAGAAAACAAGTCCTGGAGAATTTCTGAGTTACACCTGCTGAAGTTTGATTCTTTTAATCGACTCTATTCCGTGAAATGTAGGACTCGCGTCTGTTGTTATAATATTACTACTGTTATATTATTACTTTTTAAATTAAAATGATTAACATTAGTTAAAAACAATAGATAAATAAGTGGGTGTATATTTTTATGATTAATGGTGCAGAAGAGGATTTTTGTTTCTGCCAAAGCAAATCAAGTCTATTTTTCTTTAATTTTGTTTCTAAATTACTAAAAGACCTAAATGTTTTGCACACAGTACTTGGTAGAATTGCACTTCTTTTTTACTTTCCATGTGTTTGACAAAATTTTAAAGCTTAGAAACCACACGTTTCACAATGAAAACAACACAAAAGTCCCAAGGAGAACTTCTTGACTAAGTGAGTCACTGTCCTGGACAAACATTTCAGGTTGTATAAATTAGATGTTGTGGTTAATTTAGGGCTCGGCGTTTGTTAAAGGGTCAAGTGATCCGATTCTTGGCCTGACAAAGTTTGAGAAATTCTGGTTTAGATGGTTCAGAAGACGTTCCTGCATGGTATCTGTGGTCTTGGCGAGTTGGGGGAACCGGGTTTTGGGTCGGGTCGGGTTCTACCTGCAGGCCCAGAGTCGGCAGGTTGAGAGGAGCTGCAGCTGCTCTGGAAAAGGTTCTGCATCCTGGAGGCGGGTCCAGAGTGAAACCAGAACCGGAGAAATCTGCTGCCACCAACGCTAGAGAGACAGAGAAAAAGATATTGATTTTTAATCATTCATTTATTTTTAAATAAATAAGCCACATAAATAAAAAATAGAACAGAAATCAAAGAAACATAACAGAATAAATTACATTCACATCCGTCCAAAAATGAGTTCGTCAACCACACTACAAATGACTTCTCCAAAACCCCAGAGGTGACAAAATGAATCCAAGTCTGAGACTGAAATATAGTAATTTAATTCAAGCAACAGCCAAGATTTTACCATGCTAAATAAGGAAACCACATCAATATTCAACTCTTCCTCTTTCTGCTTATGTATACATCATTTTAGCCTGACATTTATTCTTTTTGACGTGTAGATTTAAAATCACAAAAATGTTTAGTCAAAGCTTCCCCACATCTGTTGAAGATCATTTAAAAAGCACAAAAGCTGAAAGACAAACAGAAAAACAATGAAACTGTTTCTCTGTTCCCAGGAGGGTTAATAACAGAAACAAAAGAGTTTACAGCTACAATACCATGAAGGGTTCTCCATTGTAAATCTGCATGTTTTATACTATCATTTCCATTCAGGCTTGATTTCAGGCATTAAGGAGAGGTGAGTTCTCCAAGCTGTATCTGTATCCATTCAGTTTGTTTTGATTGAGAGGTTTTACAATCAGCCTACGGATCATTTTTCCAGAATCTCCTTCTAGAGAGATTCCTTCACTGTCCACCGAATACAATAAAGAGCCAGAGCAGTTCTTTATCCCAGGAAACCGTCTGAAGGATGGAGAGGGTCCAGGTGATTTGGTAACACAGTACCTTCATAATAATCAGTCAAACGGGAGCGTTCTTCCCCTGCTTTTTGATCTGGCCATTGCACTAATCTGCTGCTTACAATTCAAAGACAAAAATTCACATACCTTGGTAGCACAGTGAAAAGAAATCATTAAAAACTTGTTCAACTGTTTAATATGAGAGATCATCTGTGAAACTTCCAGGTTAACTACAGAAATCTCTGTTAGAAACACCCAATCAGAGCCAGTGGGAGGGTCTTGGTGCTGTCAACCATTCCTGGGTCTATGCTGCTCTTACCGTCCCCTTGCTCTATGCAGCGCTGCAGCTTTTCCTGTCAGAAGAGCCTGCCATGAACACTTGGCTAGTTAGCAATGCCATCCATGACAACTTACCGTTCCAGTGAAAAATTTAACAGAAGGTTGATTTTCTGCCAGTATACGAAGATGACTGATAGCGGTAAGACCCGCCTCCTGGCTCTGATTGGTTCAGATGGTAATAGCAGCTCATGGAGGAGATTAAATTGTTCACAGATTATCTCTCTAACTGTCACAACAAGGAGACACTTTCAATAAATATGGATAAACATTTTATAAAAGTTATGGACAGGACCTTTAAGAGTTTTCCTCTCCACTGTGGCCCCCTGCTGGTCAGGAGAAATGACTACAATCTGAAAAAGAGGCACAAAAACCAAAGCGTACCACTGCAGAGACGAGGAGGAGAGGACAGGAGGCGCTCATCAGGGACCAGACCCGGTCCACTTCTGCTGCTGGATGTCCACACTGTCCCGCAGCAAAGAGCAGACCCTGCAGAGATGAAACAGGTTCTGATTCTGGTTCTGGTTCCTGCAGGACCTTCAGGCTTGGAGCAGCGACTCACCTTCAAGAGATGAACTGTCACTGCGCAGGGCAGCGCGCTGGCTGGAGGACACGCCTTCCTCTGAAAAAGTTGGAGACGGAAGCTGAAGCAGTGGCGGCTAACTGCCGGCTAGCCTGTAGCTTACCTGCAGCTAACTGCTGGCTATCCTGTAGCTTACCTGTGGCTAACTGCCGGCTAGCCTGTAGCTTAACTGCGGCTAACTGCCGGCTAGCCTGTAGCTTACCTGCAGCTAACTGCCAGCTAGCCTGTAGCTTACCTGCGGCTAACTGCCGGCTATCCTGTAGCTTACCTGCAGCTAACTGCCAGCTAGCCTGTAGCTTACCTGCGGCTAACTGCCGGCTATCCTGTAGCTTACCTGTGGCTAACTGCCGGCTAGCCTGTAGCTTACCTGCGGCTTACTGCCGGCTAGCCTGTAGCTTACCTGCAGCTAACTGCCAGCTAGCCTGTTGCTTACCTGAGGCTAACTGCCGGCTAGCCTGTAGCTTACCTGCAGCTAACTGCCAGCTAGCCTGTAGCTTACCTGCGGCTAACTGCCGGCTAGCCTGTAGCTTAACTGCGGCTAACTGCCGGCTAGCCTGTAGCTTAACTGCGGCTAACTGCCGGCTAGCCTGTAGCTGATCTGCGGCTAACTGCCAGCTAGCCTGTAGCTTACCTGAAGCTGTGTGATGTGCTGCAGCAGCTCGCTACAGTCTACAGTGCTCTGCCCTGCTTCAGTCTTTATTTTGAAGAACATCACAGGTGGCAGCGCCAGGAGCACCCTGACACACACACACAGCCAGCATTGAGTGTCAGACCAGTATCACCTGTCCACAGGTGTCACCTGCGTGAGCAGCACCTGTTCCAGGTCTCCATGGTCCTTTGCAGGCTGAGCCTGGTGGAGACGCTGCTAGAGGAGGCGGCGCATTTCTCAGCCACGACCCGGAGCAGGAAGTCCCCCAGACCCACACGGCGACCCCAGAGTTCACCGACCTGAGCCTCGTAGACCAGCTCCTGAGGGCGGAACCAGCAAAACCATCCAAGCCAGCAGAACCAGCAAGTAACTGGTGGTGAATGTTTCTTTATAAATCCTGCATGTCAGCGTTTTGTGAAAGATTTATGGTTTTGTAATTTTTCTGATGTGTTTGGAGTGTTTTCTGTCATATCTTCCGTGATATGAATAACAGAAACATGAAGGAACTATTAAGTGTAAAAATGTGTAATCTTTGTTTTCCAGAGCTGCGTTTTGTACAAGATGTGAGTAAACTCTTCTTTGCTGCAAAGAATAAACTCAGTTTGTCTCTTCAGCGTTTTCTTTATGTTACAACTCCTTAAAGAGTCGACTGGCAGATATTAACTGAACTTGTGGGAACCGACTGCAGCGCTTCGTCTTCAGAGACGTAGATATTTACCATGTAGACAGACACATGGGATAGAAATATTTTTCAGACCAGAAACTTTGTTAAATCGAACGTTTTTTCAGTTTTTCACAATTGTAGCTCCTCTGAACAGCATGGAGTTCTACTATGTGATGCCAACTGTGAGCATCGCTAGCCGAGATACTCACCTGTAATCTGGACAGCAGGTCTGGCAAACAGGTTCCAGTCCCAGACGATCCTGGAGAAAAGTCCAGGTTTTCCAGGTTCATCTCCCTACTAACATCAGATAAATGAATAGCAATCAAATTACTGAAGAAACATTATAAAATATGCACTTCTTTCATCTGTGTTCATTTTGAGCCTTGAACAAACACATGAACCTTAAACAAACGTCTCATGAAACCAATAAGCTCCTGATGTTCACTATAAAGTAGAAATTTATCGTAGATGTTTCAGACTCAAACCGGAAGCTTCAGGAACTCCAATAATTTATTGCTGCTTTGTTTTAATCCCAGAATGACGTCCAGATATTTCATCTCTAAGTTTATCTTTATTCATCTGGCGTTTCAGGTCCATTTCTGATTCCAAAAAACAGTAAAACATTCCGCAACATTTAAAACCCAAAGCAGAATAAAACCCAGCAGGTCATTGACTATTTCAGGTTCAGGTTTGTGACGAGTCGTGAGTGTCGCTGGCACCTGGGCGGCGGCTCCATGATGGCGGTCAGCAGACGGGAGCAGAGCGCCCTGGGGTCACCGCCACAGCCTCCCTGCTCCTCTGGCCGGGGCAGATAAAGCTCCCAGCAGGCCCACTGCTGGTACTGATGCCTGCAGGGAGATGGACAGCAGAGCATTCAGAGGTTTCTGAAGCATTCCAGGAAGTGATCAGAAATTACTGACGTAAACAATTTAACAACAGAAATAAAACCTTACAATAAAAAAACAAAAACAATCTCTTTGTTTTAGCTAAAGATCAAACCATGAATCTGACGGTTTGTTCAGGTTTATTGTTGTGGATGATATTGATTATTCCTGGGCATAAAGAATTAATCGATATTACGGTAATCAATAATTGGGACATAAACTAAAAAGAGTAAACAAACATTTGTGTGTTTATCAAGTAGAAATAGTTTAGTTCAAGCTTCAAAAATGAGAATAAAAAAGTTTTTTTTTGTTTTTCTTTAACTGAAGCTGTTTGCATGGAGTTCAGACCAACAATTTTAAAGCTCAAAGCAATTTTTAAAAGTAATATTAAAAGTGTGGAGCGGTCCAGTTCAAGTCCAGTCCTGGTTCTGGTGGAGGTCGCTACAGATTAGCCTGATGGGTTAGGAGGCCTTCCATCAGGAACCAGGAATCTTTTCTGAAGAAGGTTTTTAACTTCATAACTGAGATCAAAATAATTTCCAACATTTTTTAGTTGAAATGTCAATAAACATGGATTTAATTGTTTCCACCAGAGCTCACTGTTCACCGATTTCTTATTTTATTTGCGATGAGGAACAAACTGGTGGATGATTTTACGGAGTTTTTAATCTCACCGCTCTGCGTCCGACAAAACATCCGAGTTTCTCTGGACTCTGAGCTCTTCATGCAGCCACTCTGAAAAACACAACTACACACAAAGAGCAGATATTAAACATCATAAAACATTATTACATCTTTAAGAAGTCATTAATACAACGTCACTAAGACCATTAACAAAACATTAATAAACATTATACAGTCACTCAGCAGTTATTGAAAACGCTTCAGATGAATGAGTTAAGCTCAGATTCCCATCAATAAATGGGTCCAAACTCTCGGCTGGTTCCGACGGGTCCGAGTCTGCCAGGAAAATGTCGCCCACATCATGATACCACCTGGTTCTGACCCGATCCAGCCTGATTGGACCAGATCACGACTGTCCAATCTGGTCTGGTTCCGGTTCTGCTGCTACAAGGGTCTACAGGTTCTGCAGAACCGGGTCGGAACCAGGGGGTCTAACAACTTCTGGACCCAGTCAGCCTGTTCTACTTTGACCTTTGACCTGAGCAAGACATTCTCCTCCAATCAGCCGCTTTGTTCCTTCACATGAACAGAGATTAAATCCAGGAGATTAACTGATTCACTGGCAGCAGTTCATCGGTTTAGCCTTCATCATCCTCATCCTCTTGTCTGAAACACTGAACCTGCTGGTTGGATACAAACACTGAAGATGGGGAATCTCCAGCTGAGCAAAGAAGAACCTGATCCAGATGGATCCGGACTGATCCGGATGGATCCAGACTGATCCAGATTGATCAGATGGATCTGGATTGATCCAGATTGATCTAACCTGGTACTGCTGCAGTTGCTGCAGCTGCTGGAAGGCAGCGTGTCTCCACAGATGCAACACCAACTTCGACCAGCTGGTTCCATCATTGAAGCTCCACAGCAGAGCCAGATCGTCCCCAAGATGGCCGCTTGTTGGACCGTCCCCGTCCTGCCTCTCTGGACGTATCCTGGCCTCAGGGAACAACCTTGGGACCAGGTACAGGACCTGGACAGGGAAACGCCCACTGATGAAGAACGAGGGAGAGAGAGAAAGACAAATAGAGAGAAATAGATGGGACCTTCTTATAGAGGCTCCTTGGAATAAAGTCCTGCAGTCGCTGCGGAGACGCAGAGTGTCCTCTGCAGAGTCCATAGGACACAGCAGCCACAGCCAGCCTGGGGACAGAGAGCTGCTTTAATACCCAGGATGTAAACTGGAAGGTTTATTGGTTTCACTGGTTTTTAGATTAACTGGACCATCTCACCTGACAGACAACAGCATGCTGTTCCGACTGCTGCTCAACATGGCCAAATCCAGAGCCTCTTCTACCGGAACCGGACCCGGCTGGGCCGGACCCGGTTCCGGCTGGGCCGGACCCGGTTCCGGCTGGGCCGGACCCGGCTGGGCCGCCTGCAGGTGGACGATGAAGGCTGCCAGGCCCAGGATGTGGGCAGGTTTCAGAGAAGCTGCCTGAGGACAGATGACGGGGTTAACCCTTTAACTATCACCATGACAACGTTCCCAAGACAACCGTCGAGGACACCGCAGTAACCATGGCAACTAAGGGGTTAAACTCTGCAGCTAATTTGATAGAAAACAAATTACCATATTTTCTGGACTATAAGTCGCAGTTTTTTCCATTGTTCGGCCAGTGGTGCAACTTATACTCTGGAGCGACTTATGTGTTAAATTATGAACACATTATTATATCCTATCACATGTTATTTTCTCACTAAACCACAAGAGGGCGCTCTAGGCCTGTTATTCTACCTCCAGAGTTAGCAGAGTTGTTTACAAGCAACACTGAAGCTGGAGAGACACAGATGGTTTGGTAAACGTGTTATTTATGCTATAATTATCTGAATAACTTTTAATATGTTAACTTACCAGGCATGTTTGTCATGTAACGTTAGCATACCGTACAATTATTCGGCCTGTTGTTGCCTCTATTCTATTTTTATTTTATTGCCTTTCAAGATGACATGTCTGTTCTTGGTGTTGGATTTAATCAAATAAATTTTCCCCAAAAATGCGACTGATAGTCCGGAAAATACGGTACTAGATTAAAGTACCTGATTAAATGGACCTGATGAATCCAATCTGTTTTTACAGCTCAACTAATTCGACTATTTTTCATGAAACGTCTTCAGACCATATTTGTTGTGAATTGCTTTTGTCCAAATGAACTGTGTGAGACATTCATTTGTCAGCGGCGGCCTGGCTGAGCCATAATATGGATTACAGTACCTGTCGGTGAAACAGATCCTTCAGTCTGTGGATTACGCTGGACAGAAGCTGCCGGTTATCGAGCAGCAAGCAGACGAACCTGCTGCCCCACTCACTCTGTCTGGAAACAGACAGAAAAATTAAGCAATTTCTGATTGAACATTTCTGATCAATGCTGCTTTTCCATGTTGACAAAACCGACTAATTAAATATGATTAATTCTAAACTCATGTAGTTTCTGAAACATTGACAGAAAACTATTAGGACAAAATCACTGCAGATCGATCATCAGAACTCCAAGCAACAATTTGCAGTAAATAAAGCTTTTAATGTGAAAGTCACAGGAAGTCACCTGTTGGGAGGGTTTCCTCTGGAAGCGACCAGGAGGCTCTGGCAGAAACTTCGCAGAATTAAATCAACCACCTAAAAATGGTAAATGGACTGAACTTATATCGCGCTTTTCCAGTCATTTTGACCACTCAAAGCGCTTTACCCTATAGTCACATTCACCCATTCACACACACATTCATACACCGATACGCAGACCGGTAGGCAATTTAGGGTTAAGTGCCTTGCCCAGAGGCACATCAACATATGGCAGGAGGAAGCTGGAATCGAACCTACAACCTTCCGATTGCAAGATGACAACTCTGCCACACAAACACTTCAGAATCGCTAACCCATCATGGTCCAGAACCAGAACCTGGTTTACCTTCAGATGGAGGTCGGGCAGCGACGGTGTGGCAGCCGATCCAACCGGGTCATCAGAACCAGGACAGATGACACTCAGGGTGAGAGAAATCCTGGACAGCAGGCCCAACGACTCTGAGGGACCAGAACCCGGTTAAAGGGAAAGAACTGGATTAAAGAACCAAAACCGAATTAATGATCCAGAACCTGGGTCCCGTCCTGCTGCCAGCAGTTGGGTGAACTCCTGCAGTTGCTCCTGCAGAACGGCCAGCGGGGCTCCGGGGCGCCGAGGGCTTCCTGAAACATCACAGCAGATCTATGAGCCGCGGATCTAGTCAGCGCTGAAAGGCGATTCATTAATAAACTCTTGGCAAAGTCGAATCCAATCTAAGAAACTCTGCACCAAATCATCTCTGAACATTTGAAGAAAAAAATTTCATCCAAATTTACTGAACTTAATTTACAATTTAATATTTATTACTTCTAATCCTAAATATTTACACCCGAATTGATGCCGCAGTCGGAATGACGGTTTAAAGAATACATTTTATCGTTTACCGCTCTGCTGCCTTCGCTTCTGACAGGACTCCACATACTGGGAATACTGGGCAGCAGGGATCTTCTCTGCTCTGCACACAACAAACCAGTTTGACAGCTGGGAATCTTTAACTCCCAGTAAACCACGAGGAGAAACGCCGAATCATCAGTCACTGAAGAAAAAGCAGAACTCACTGTTTCAAAACTTCAATGAAGTTCATCTGAGCATCGGCTTCAAGAGGAAGCTGGAAGCACGAGAAAAATCTGCTCAACCCCCTGAAAGTTCCCACCGCTCTGACAAACACACTGAAAGTTCCCACCGCTCTGACAAACACACTGAAAGTTCCCACCGCTCTGACAAACACACTGAAAGTTCCCACCGCTCTGACAAACACACTGAAAGTTCCCACCGCTCTGACAAACACACTGAAAGTTCCCACCGCTCTGACAAACACACTGAAAGTTCTCACCGCTCTGGGCTTCAGCAGCGCAGGAAGGAACCTAGTTAGAAAATACGGCCTCCGGAAAATGCTGTGGAGGGAAAAACTGCGGTCAGTGTTCTGGGATGTTAGCTTTAGCTGGAAGGAGATTTTATCTTGATTCGTTTGATGTTAACTCTTCTATGTTTTAGTGTGGCTGTGCTGGCCAGGTCAAAGTTCACATCAGAATGACACAGAGGTTTTTAAATCGCTCCATGGACGCTTTGAGGATCCGACTACATGTAGTTCAGCTCAGATTTCTAACCAGGAAGACAAAACAATTCCATTCTGTGAACATAAATCCTTTCATAATAAATATTTATTACAGAATATTTTAAATTCCACTGCTTTGCACCGTCGCTGTTTTCATCTGTAGTAATTGGGTCAAACAAATCTATGAATATAAATGATCATCTAGTTGATGGGAATAATCCAGTTACTTTCCAGAAGCTGGTTCTGTGTGATCCAACGTTACTGATCACGGTTTTCTCTCATTTCCACGCCGCGTTTCTACGTCCATCTTTTAAACAGTGGAGTTTATTTTTCCCACATTTCAGCAACAAGGCAGTTCAGAGTTCATTGCATCATAAAAACACAGAAATACAGTTTTCTGGGCATTTGTTCCAGATCTGTGGTGCATAGAAGCTGAATGCTGCTTCTCCATGTTTGGTTCTGATTCAGAGCAGAACCAGAACTAGCAGGCTGATCCAGTAGCATCAGATCTTTAATCCGTCCAGTGATTTATAGACTAGAAGCAGATTAAAGTCTCCCAGTGAAGGACTGCAGAACCAGGTGGTGTAGAACCAAGTGGTGTAGAACCAGACGGTGTAGAACCAGACGGTGTAGAACCAGACGGTGTAGAACCAGACGGTGTAGAACCAGACGGTGTAGAACCAAGTGGTGTAGAACCAGACGGTGTAGAACCAGACGGTGTAGAACCAAGTGGTGTAGAACCAGGTGGTGTAGAACCAGACGGTGTAGAACCAGGTGGTGTAGAACCACGGTGTAGAACCAGACGGTGTAGAACCAAGTGGTGTAGAACCAGACGGTGTAGAACCAGGTGGTGTAGAACCAAGTGGTGTAGAACCAGTGGTGTAGAACCAGACGGTGTAGAACCAGGTGGTGTAGAACCAGGTGGTATAAACGACGGTGTAGAACCAGGTGTGTAGAACCAGGTGGTGTAGAACCAGACGGTGTACAACCAGACGGTGTAGAACCAGACGGTGTAGATGGTGTAGAACCAGACGGTGTACAACCAGACGGTGTAGAACCAGGTGGTGTAGAACCAGACGGTGTAGAACCAGGTGGTGTAGAACCAAGTGGTGTAGAACCAGATGGTGTAGAACCAGACGGTGTAGAACCAGGTGTAGAACCAGGTGGTGTGAACCAGACGGTGTAGAACCAGACGGTGTAGAACCGGGTGGTGTAGAACCAGGTGGTGTAGAACCAGGTGGTGTAGAACCAGACGGTGTAGAACCAGACGGTGTAGAACCAGGTGGTGTAGAACCAGGGTGTAGAACCAGACGGTGTAGAACCAGACGGTGTAGAACCAGACGGTGTAGAACCAGGTGGTGTAGAACCAGGTGGTGTAGAACCAGACGGTGTAGAACCAGGTGGTGTAGAACCAGACGGTGTAGAACCAGATGGTGTAGAACCAGGTGGTGTAGAACCAGGTGGTGTAGAACCAGACGGTGTAGAACCGGGTGGTGTAGAACCAGACGGTGTAGAACCAGATGGTGTAGAACCAGGTGGTGTAGAACCAGATGGTGTAGAACCAGACGGTGTAGAACCAGACGGTGTAGAACCAGGTGGTGTAGAACCAGATGGTGTAGAACCAGACGGTGTAGAACCAGGTGGTGTAGAACCAGACGGTGTAGAACCGGGTGGTGTAGAACCAGACGGTGTAGAACCAGGTGGTGTAGAACCAGGTGGTGTAGAACCAGGTGGTGTAGAACCAGACGGTGTAGAACCAGGTGGTGTAGAACCAGGTGGTGTAGAACCAGGTGGTGTAGAACCAGGTGTAGAACCAGGTGGTGTAGAACCAGGGTGGTGTAGAACCAGACGGTGTAGAACCGGGTGTAGAACCACGGTGTAGAACCAGACGGTGTAGAACCAGGTGGTGTAGAACCAGACGGTGTAGAACCAGATGGTGTAGAACCAGGTGGTGTAGAACCAGGTGGTGTAGAACCAGACGGTGTAGAACCAGGTGGTGTAGAACCAGGTGGTGTCTCTATCTTCCTGGATCTAGTCAGAACTCCAGCAGCAGTGTTCTGGACTGTTGGTTTGTCAGTCAAACCTGCTGCAGGAATCATGACTGCAGCTGATCAGCTGATTGTTATGATCAACTGGAATCTATTCTTACTTCACTGCAAAGTGAAGAATAGGGGGCGTCAGAACGTGATGCCCCCAGTCAGAGTGAACCCTAACTGCCACTAAAACAGGCAGAAATGTTGGGATTTCATTCGTCTTTCGTACATTAAATTCTGTTTTCAATGAAAATTTACAGTTTAAGGAAAACCTTAAGGTTTAGGCCTTCTGCAGCCGAATCCACCATGTTGATAAATACTCTGTATTTTTATCACAATGGTTAATCATGTCTTTTAAAATATTGTAACTTGGACTGAAACAAACTGAATCAATTAGTTTTTTACCATTAAGGAAACAATGTAAAACAACTTTACTGATATTTGTGCTATTCTGAATGTTCACTAATTCCAAGCCGCCGTCAATAATAATAAATTAATCTGGAAAAGTGGTTTTATATTTCCTACAGTGTTTTTCTTCTTTTTACAGTTTTAGGACAAACCTCTGACAATGAGGTCTGCTCCAATAAAATACTCAATAATAAATAATTCGTATATCATCTACAACACAGGGGACTCACCTGGCCTCCATGACTGCTGCAGGGATCCTGCCGCTGCTCTCAAACAGACACACAGCTTTCTCCACGTCCTGTGCAGCTTGGCTCTGAGTGGAACATTAGCACACAATTTATTTCACTAAAGCCTTTGTTGCAGATGTGATGTTGTTCTTTAGAGTTTTTACTACAATTAAATTATTTGTTGGCTTCTCACATTAATAAAACCACAATACTGTTACATGTGTTGAATCTCTTTTTTCTAAGTTTATTTAAAATTATTGGATTTTCGTCAAACTGGTGGTAGATATGAGGACGACGACCAGGATGCCGGTGACCGCTGAACCATCCAGGGAGTCAGAGTGGACATGGTGGAGATTTATAAATATCTGCAACTCCACATTGACATAAAACTGAACTGGGTCAAGAACACTGAAGACAGGAATGGCCAAAGTTGTCTCCACTTTCTGAGATGGCTGAGGTCCTTCAACATCTGCCAGACTTTGCTCAGAATGCTCTATGAGTCTGGTTGCCAGTGTTGTGGTGTGCTGGTGCAGCAGGCTGAAGGAGGAGGACACCAACCGACTGAACAGACTGATGGGGTACACAAGGCCAGCGACCTCGTTGGAGTGGAGCTGGACTCTGTAGAGAAGAATGCTGTCCAGTTTGCCTTGTCCAACGAGACTCATCCACTTCATGAGCAAATACAGGAGCAGCTTTAGCCAGAGACTCAATAGAAATCATTCCTCTCTTCAGCCATCAGGCTTTGCCTCCACTTACTTCACTCTAATTCTACTCGTCTATAGATTAACACAAGGATGTAAATCCCATCTCATTACTGGGGGACCATAAACAGGAACATTTCTTAACACCAATATTTAGGGCGTCTGCAAAGTTACAGTGAAATGTAACGTAAAATGTGGTTTAGAAAGTTTTTAAGTCACATTCAAGCTGCAGGACCAAACATGACTAGTAATGCACATCAAACATGTTTTATTCTCAGTAAGCAGCCTGTAGAGAAATGAAAATTCAAATGTTGCTTCTATACAACAACATTTGAATTGTTGTTGTATAGAGATTAGTTCAGTCTGACTGATCTAATCTCTGCTACACCTTTCCAACAATTTAAGGTTCTAAATAAAACAGAACCTTAATGAGTAACAGCTCTTTTTATTGAAATGGATCCCAATACAAGTTATGAGCTGTTTAAATTATAACTTGATTAGCTGCTTTATTTTTAAGCCTTATTTAGTTTTGCCATGTAGATGGAAATGAATATCTGGGGAGTACTATAACTTAAACGTAACATTTAAAGCACCAGGGTTTATACAGAAAAATATTCAGATTTTATTTTGTGGTTTTCAAGGCTCTATGATGAAGACGGTGAGAAATAAAAACATAACTTTCTGATTCTTCTGTTTTGGGCTCCCACTCTGAGCTGGTCCACTTGCTCAACTCGTCCCGTTTCAAACTCTTCTAATTAACTGGAAGTAAATATGAATGTTTGCTGCCTTTGACAAAAAAGCTCCAGTCTGTGAAGCAGTTTTGCTAATGAGGCAGCTCATCATGAATCAGTCAAAGTAATAAAATAAACTGCAGTCTGATCTTTGTTAGATCAAGAGGGCTTCATGTTAGTGATGCAGTCACAGCTAACAGCTAGCAGCTAGCTCTGACCACCATGTTGCTCCGCCCACACTTTGGACTGAACCATTGTTCTAATAATGGTAGGGGGGACCTAAAAATTCATTCTTATTTTTTTCTGAGATAAATGGCAGATTTACTTTGTTCCTTGTTTTGTTTGGCTTTTCATATTGAAGTTGTTTAAATGAAAATGTTTCTTCAATGATCTAGACCAGGGATGGGCAACTCCAGGCCTGAAGGTCTCCTGCAACCTTTAGACGCATCTCTACAACACACCTGAGTCAAATAATGAGGTCATTAGCAGGATTCTGGAGAGCTGCTACTGAGGAGGTGATTCAGTGATTTAATTCAGCTGTGTTGGACCAAGGAGACATCCAAGAGTTGCAGGACACCGGCTCTCCAGGACCAGAATTGCCCACCCCGATCTAGACTTTTCTGAGATTTGGGGGATCCGGACCCTGCGACCCCTCCTGGGATTTAGGCCTGTGCACATATTTTCATGAGCATGGTTGTTATTAAATTTATTTACATTCAGTCATATTGCATTACTTGCATCACTCTTGTATATATATTTTAGAAACTCTGTTATGGTAATATTTGTGTTATTAATATTTAACGCCTTTGATGGAGTAGCTTGTCAACGAATAAGTAATTTCCCATTGACAATCAATAAAGTATATTTTATTCGATTCCTTTCAAACCAAAACCCATCAAAGAACCAGATTCCTGTCAAAGTTGGGATTTTAATGGCAACAGACTGGAAAATGAATTCCTTTTGGCCATTAACTGATTGAACGGTAGAAAATACTCACCTCTTAAATAATAAATGATTGTTTTATATATTTCTAAAAACTGATGACAAATTGTGAGCGATTTCCAACACCGAGTCACTGGGAGGTGACAGACCATCTAGTGCAGCGATCTAGATGTTTTCCTGCTTTAACCTGATGGAGATGCTTGAAAAGCAGCAGCCTATTTTTACTTTATTCAATAGACTCATGGTCCACAAGATACACAACAACACAACATAAAAAAACAAGAGAAAATGAAAAATAAAATACAATAAGTAGTCATAAGAAATATAAATATAAATCTTATAGAAGACTTGTATACCAATGTTTCCAAAGAGCCGACTGGTATCTTAGCGCACTAACAGAAGGCTGTGAGAACATTACAAGAAGATTGTTCGGTGAGTTACCCAAACGACACATAAACTTGTATATCAGATTTCTCAAAAGGGCCTGAAATGTTCTGACATGTGCGTTACAGAACATTTGACTTGCACTGCTGAACCTGGGTTTCTTGATCAAAATTCTCAAAGAGTCATTATAAGCAACCTTAAGCTTCTGCATACTAGTTTTTTTAAATTTGCACCACAAAGGAGCTGTATACAAGGATGTACAGTAAGCTTTAAACAGGCTTATTTTTACCTCATCAGAGCACATATGAAATTTCCTCCCCAAAACGTTTGCCTGGGCGTATAACATGCGACACTGCCTATAGATGTCATCATCATCAGAGAGCTGGTCTGTGATGTAGTGACCCAGATACTTAGTTTTGGAACAAACATCTAACTTTTGCCCTGACAGAAAAAAATCAGGGAAACAGAGTTGTTTGTCGGCTTTAGTTCTACAAACTAGTACAACAGTTTTCTTAGCATTATCCTGCACATCAAATCTCAACCCATAATCAGAGCAGATATTCAATAACTGCTGAAAACCAGCACTACTGGGTGAGAGAACAGCCAGGTCATCAGCATACATGAAGTGATTGACCAAAGTATCACCAATCATACACCCGGTTTTACAGAGGTTCATTTCTTTTGATAGGTCATCCATATACAAGTTAAACAGGGCAGGTGAAAGAAGCCCACCCTGCCGCACACCATTACTAACACCAAAGGAAGCAGAGATGTTATCTCCCCATTTTACATGCATTTTCTGGTTAGAGTACCAGTAAACTAAAATTCGTATAATAATATCTGAAACACCTCTTTTTTTTAATTTGTCAAATAACTTATTGTGGTTAACACGATCAAAGGCCTTAGAGGCATCAATAAACCCAAGTAACACAGATGAATTTTTCCTTAAGTATGTTCTTACAGCTTCTTTCAGGCCGTAAATACAGAAATCCATTCCCAGCTTGGCTTTAAAACCAAATTGATTATCTGTTGTACTAATAAACTGATTAAGCCGACCAAGCAAAATTTTTTCTAATACTTTAGATAACACACTAGCCAAAGCTATGGGTCTGTAGTTATCAAGGCTGCCAACCTTATTAGTTTTGTCCTTAATTACTGGCACAAGGGTAACAGATAGTAAGGAATCAGGCAACTGCCCGTGGGTCATAAACCCAGAAAAACACATTGCAAGCAGCACAGACACTTGTTGGCTAGCATATTTCAAATGTTCTGCTGCAATGCCATCAGAACCTGTTGCTTTATTCTCACACAAATTTACTATAGCCTGCTGAATTTCACTAGGGGTTATTATAACCACATCATTCTTAGCAATGTTTCCCAGTCCATAGGGTTCATTTTGTACACAGTTAAATAAGGCAGAATAGTGCTGTCTCCATAGATCAGCTATATTATGAGCCCCAGATATGCCCTCTATGGTATTGGGGAGTAATGCAGCAGACCTGTTTAAGGCTCTAACATCATTCCAAAAGCCAGTGGTGTCATTACAAAGCAGTTTTTCAGCCATGGAGTCTGCTCTCATATTCTGTTCACATTTGGAGATGTATCGAATGGCATATTTAAACTTTGCACTGGTGAGTTTTTTATAATCTAAGATAGTCCCATGTCTTGGTTTACCTGCCTGTACCCACATTTTATATGCCTGTTTAGCTTCTGCACGGCATCCTGACACATGTTTATTCCAGCCTGGCCTGATGCTATTAGTCCTTCTGTATGTAAGGTATGGTCTTGTGCTCTGGTACAAAGCATCCACAATGCCATCATACATAGTATGGAGGTCAGTACAGTGAGAAATATCACTGCAATTAACATCTGAGCACGTAATAGCTGGAAGAGGAAGATTTATTTTACTCAAAAGAAGATCAGTTTTCATACGATATACGAGTAAGTCATCTTTAGAAAGTGTGGACCAGTTAATTTTAAATGTAGGAGCACTATTTGCCCCCCGTATAAACTCTGGGAGATTTTTAATATCCAACATCATTAAAAATGGGACATGATCCGACATTGAATACTCATATAGGATTTCTAATGATTTTACAACAGTATGGGCATCAGCAGAGCTAATGCAATGGTCAAGCCATGACGTTGTATGCCAAGCTTCACTTATATATGTATAGCTTTCTGCAGGTAGCAGGAGCTGACTGGACAATAATAAACTATTATCATCACAAAACTGATGCATATGTTTGGCAAATGAGGAATGTTCATCAGATATATCTGCATTCATATCACCTACTACATACACAGAGGTAAAACAATGGTCATCAATAAAAGAGCTCAAGAAAGCAAGTCTATTCAAATAAATGTCTTCATTCTGAGGACACTCATATGGTGTATAAACATTAATAATGATAAATTCTTTGTTTTCGATTTTAAAATGAACAGCAATACACCAGTCAACACCGGTTCTGATGACATTTAAAACTGGATCCAGCTTTTTGTGCCATAGAATGGCTACTCCTCCTGCGATTCGACCCCTCACTATACCCATAGAAAGGTCCACAGTAGATTCACCAGCTCCACAGAAACAATCATTAATACAGTTCAAACTTCCCAAGTCTTGTTTTGATAAAAAAGTCTCTTGTAAACAAAGAACGTCACATTCTTGCAACAGTTTATCCACAACCAGACGTCGTGCTTTATCTCCAGCTGTATTACCGACACGCAGTCCCCGGCAATTGTAAGAAATAACACGCATGAATTGGTCTATGAGAAAGTAACTGCAGCCATCCCATCGATCCTTCTGGAATCACTAGAGGTGCTCACCCCAGGTCCTTCAGACGTTGTAGGTTTATTCCGTGGCTCATAGTAGCGGCGCACCACCGCACCCTCTGGCCACAGCTCTGGGTTATACACTTCTGCAACGTTCTGACACTCCACACTGACTTTAAAAGAACTATATCTTGTGTTCCCAGTGACAATACGCCGGCACTCAACATCACGCCCAAGCTTTTCTTTAAGGTAGTTCGTTAGTGTCTCGTCATCTAGATCTGGCACAAATCTAGTTGCAAAAATAGTGGCAAGCTTCGTTTTTACCACTTTTATGGTGCTTTGTGCGCCAGTGCCAATAATAGGCGCTGGTCTTTTGCGCTCAGGTTTAGTTTGGCGATTTTGATGAGCTGGATGGCTCTCGGTTCTCTTACGTCGGCCTTGTTTCACCACCAAGTTCCATGTGGGTGAGCTGGCAGGCTCATCCACAGCAGAGCTTAGCTTATCACTCACCGCAACAGGCTCGTCAGTAGTCCTGGAACAGTTGGTGTAGGTCCCATTCACGGGCAAAGCCGCATTATCGGCGGTAACATAGTTTGTTGCAAACAGAATCCATGCATGCCACCACCTCCTCAGAAACGTTCACAGCCAATTTCATGTCTCCAGCGTTGGGCATTCCTAGAGCAGGCGCATCGACACTGCTGGATCCTCCACCGCCAGACACCAAATGCCGTTCCATTGCAGCAACTCTGCGGTCAATGGTAGCGGTAACTTCACGCAACTTCTCTTCAACATCCACTTGGCGTGATACTGTATGCTTTAGGGCACAAACCTCGCTCTGCAAGCGCTCTATCTTGCTGAGTAAGTTGGAGACGTCCAGGCTGTTGAACGTCACAGGTGGCAGCTCATCCAGGAAGTGAGAGACAAAGCGTGGAATAGCTTCCCCACACTCATTCAGAACTTTTAAACAGCTTTTTATGGCATTTGCAGCTTTCTGGTTTCCTTTGAAGGCCGTATATCGCTGCTTAGAGTTGGAACACAGTTCAAACAGTACTTTTCTAGAGGACTCAATCCACTCAAAGTCAAATGTGTTTGATGCAAGCAGCACAAGCTCTTCCTGACACATAGTCTTGATTTTGACCACAAGAAAATTTAAAAACTCATCTTCTACTATAAGTTTTCCATCAGTGGTTTTGTAGATCTGCGGTTTAGTTCGGGGAGGAATGGAGAAGGAAGCGCCCGAGCCGGACTCCGCACCGTCCGCCATCTTTGAAAACTCATCAGACAGAAAACAGGATTCAGTTCCTGTCAGTAAACCTATTCCATTCTGATCAGAACAAGAAATAACTCAACTCTGAGCTGAGATAAAATAAAAACCTTCATCAATGGAAGGCAGACAATGCAATCCAGAGAAACAGCAGGAGGAAATTACAAATGATGGGATTTAGAAAACATCATAGCATATAAAAAAGCAATACTTTTCCTGTGAAGTAGCCAGAGTTTGCGAGTTAAATTGTGAATGTGATGTGACAGAGAATTAAAGCTTGAAAAAAGGTAGGTGATTTTATTTTAACCTCCATTACAGGAGGAGGACGCAAGTATGTACTACTTGCTACATACAAGTTGCAAGTAAAGTTGCAACTTTGATAGCAAAGTTGATTCATGGTGGGATGCATCAAAGTACACCATGTGCCTGATTACAGCTTGTACAGTTTAAAGTAATAAACAGAGTTCACTTCTCAAAATCTCGCAAGCTAAAATTTTCCTCTGAGATTCCAGTCCAGTGTGACAGACGCCTCGCAACCTCAACCATGCGTCTTTCTTCTGGCAAAGCTTGCAAACATTTTGGAGTAATTTCTTCTCTATACTCTCAGGGGATTTTAGAATCCAGATCCAAAGTTTTCCACTCTTTGCCATTTTTTTCCAGTTATCACCACTAACCTGCCCCCCCAGCAGGGGGAGATGTTAGCTTTCTGTTCTCTTCTCGCCAGACGCTGTATTTTACTCTAACGCCTAATAGCTTGAGACTGTAAGAGCATTTTTGAAGGTAAAACAAATTTAATGACCAGTGAGGGGCAGTTCAGCAAAATTTACTTCAATCTCTGCCTGCATCCTGGATAGAATGACGACGCATCATGAAGACATCGCTTAGTCATGTGACTAAGTTTAAAAAGATAGGTAAAATACCTTTTAGCTCCACAATGCCATTCCCTTTTTAAATAGTATTTAATTTTGTCTCTTTTTTGTTATCTCAGTATGGTAATTTATATTCATTAAGGGAAAAAAATTTGGAGAAGTTATGCAAGTTTTGCTAAATGTATGTAATGTCAATAAATGTACAATCTCCTGATTTAGTAGTAGCAAAGTTGTTCAGGGCTCAACTGGTGTGACATATTTCATTTCCTGGCTAACCAGGGCGGCATCAGGTTACCCAGGGCCCACATTATGCACATATTCAAAAAACGCTTTAATGTCTCAAACCAGACATGTCTGAAGATTCTCAGGTTTTAATTTTCAGGAAGGTTCAAAGGAAGCCATTTTGTTCGAAGGGTTAATTTAGAAAAGTTCCTCTCCGTTCATTTCCTGAAACTTCTGCGATGAGGTGACAGTCGTTTGTCCTCATGCAGCAAAGCGACTGGCATAATTCATACATCTGAAATTTTGACTTTTATATGTGGATCTGCAGGTACTAACCTTAAACCTAACACAGGCCAGCAGCCACATACGTTGAAGAACGCCCATCTTTGCCTGCTGTTCATCGAACACTAATAACTCGACAGCCTAAAAGAGGCTTTTAAGCTGAAATGGTCAATTCATCTGAATGATGTGATGTTAACTCTGTAAAATGTTCAGATTAATCGCATGCAACAGCGCATTAAAGTTGACAGCCCGAGCACAGACATATTAAATACAAAATGTGACAGAATGGTGAGTGTCTGACTTTGCAGCAGTGCTGGCCACACTTTTCAGAAAGGTTCAAGTCACGAAGATCTAGAGCAGGGGTGCTCAAACTTTTTGAGACCAAGATCTACTTTTTCTCTCACCAGCCGGCTGAGATCTACCTCATGGCATGAAGACATACAAATTATAAATTAAACCCTATTGACTAATTTTCTATGCAAATATCCATCAGTTATATCAGAAATGATAAAGTGATAGAAAAACCTGATGCAGTTTCTTCCTCAGTGACATTCTGACACTGGGAGCAGGTTACTGGTTTCAGCAGGTTACTGGTTTCAGCAGGTTACTGGTTTCAGCAGGTTACTGGTTTCAGCAGGTTACTGGTTTCTCAGTCAGAAGCTGGTTGTAAACCTGAGGCCAGCAGGCGTCAGTCAGTGGTATGTCCGAAATTTGGTTTGATGACGTCACTATGCGAAACTGCAGACTGATAGGAGGAACCAAAGAGCAACCAAAGGCAAATCTGCTGAATCTGGGATATAATTAATGTAATTTGACATAATTATTGTGGTAGAAGCCATTTGTTTGTTAAAACTTAATCTAATATATTTGTCCTATTTGATGTTGGTTGTGACGTTTACTGCAAACGAACGAGGTCATCAGTCCAAGTCTGTCGTTCATTGAACGTTCAGAAACTCCAGTGGCTGTGATGAACCACAGCGAAGGAAAACAAAGGTAAAATAACCCGAACAGGTGATCAACTCAGAACCACTCGCACCGTTTCACTCTCTCTCTCTCTTTACGTTAAGCACACCCGTTGCCGTGGCAAACGCCTGCGCCCCGCAAGCCGAGAAAAGATTACAAACGTTCAGTCCGTTACGATATCAGGTTATTATTATTTAATGAAGCTACAAACGTTTTGGATCTTAGTAAATATTTTTGATAAGCCTGTCAGAAGAGGAAGTGCTGCTCTCAGCGTCCTGGAGGTCTTCAGTTTGTCACCTGCTGCCGAGATCGACTCAAAACCGTCCCGCGATCGACCGCTAGATCGCGATCGACCGCTAGATCGCGATCGACGTATTGAGCACCCCTGATCTAGACCAACAGCAGGGAGGCTAAATAAAATTGACCTAAAACAAACCTTTTTGTGCTTGATGCCAACAACATCAAACATAAAGGGAGTAAGTTTATTAAGATTGATGGAGACGGCGCTCTGCTAAAGAGAACCTGATGGTGTTCAGGCTCCTGCTGGCTGGAAGTACCTGGAGTGAAGAAGCACCGGCAGCAGAAGCATCTTCATACAAACCCATGTCCTCCACCGACTCCTGCAACAACACAGAATAATTATTGTTAATTAAAGTCACCTTCAGATAAAACAGTTCAGCTCAAACTCATCCTGCCACCTGCAGGTCGGCCAGCCGGGTCTTCGCCAGCGTGACGTACTCCATCAGGAGGCTGCGGTGTTTTGGAGGCACAAACGGAGGGTGAAGAATATGAACCTGATATAAAAAGATAACTGTCAGCTGTGGAAGGTCAAAGGTCACCTTAGTCCATGAGCACACTCCACAATTAGATTTAAATGTATTTTTTACTAATTACAGTTGGTGCATTTTCACCTTTAAGGTACTCAGACTTCAGTCATTTCATTGTTTTAATATTTAAAACATTTTAAATGATAAAAATGTGTACTTTTTTTATAACTGCTTCAAATTTGAATGGCTTCAGATCTGAAAAATGCCAACATTTCCTGTCATTGCTTAGAAACAAACTTTGGCCTATGTAAAGTTTTTATTTTCAAGAGAACTGATATAAAATCCTGACCTTTATTTTCCTACAAAATTACATTTTGTGATTTTTTTCCCACCTCCAATGGAGGCTGTTTAACTTTTAATAATAATTAACAATAAATAATAAAGCGTAGTTTTAATTAGCTCAATATGTTCAAAATTCAACTGACATTAAATGTGAGGATGACTCCCACCTGCTGCTGCCTCCAAATAAAATAAAATAACTAACGTGAATAAATGTGCTCTGTTCATTCAACCTGTAGCTAATGGATTTCACCTTTAAGTACTGAGGAGGTTCAAAGGGCACAAGGTCAGAGAGGAACTTCAGCAGGAACACCAGAGACTTCTTACTGCCAGCATGGAAACCGGAGCGTCCGCCAAACGACATCTGAAAGCAACGCAGATCAATTCAATTAACATTACTCTTTAAAAGAAATGTTCAGATCAAATTTATGGAGTGAAATATAGTGAGCTTTGTCCTAAAAGCAACGGGGAAATGTTCATTTACAAGTCGTTAAAACCAGACAAAACCTTGAACCAGTCGGTGTAGGATGGAAACACGCCGGTGCCCTCTAGCGCCCCCTGCCGGGCCAGCAGGAAGGCGGTGATCAGCTTCTCCAGATCGTAGCCTCCGAACGCCGAGCTCAGCAGGCGGCACAACGCCTCTGACAGAAACAGACGCCGTTAGCTTCGCCCTCCAACAGGTGTAACCCGACACCCTGCAGGGGCTGACCATGTGACGCAGCAAAGGATTATGGGATGTTAAACTGGAGCAGAGAAGTGAAGAAACCGGTAAATATCGCTTATTGGCGTAGCAGCAGCAGTAACCGATTCTTGACTCATTTGTTAATGGCATGGTGAGTTACCCTAACCCCAGACCAGCTGAAAGGTTACAAAATATTTAAATCTGAGCAAAAAGATTTTACCAAAAATGTCAGTGCCGTTTTAACAGAGCAGCAACTTCACTATAGTTTAGTGATTTTAAAATTTCGATACTTCTCTAAACAAGAGTCAGCAAATACATTCCAGTCAGAAGATAAGCTGCAGTTCTTTCAACATGAAGGTTATTTTGTTATTGGGATACATTTTCAGTCTATTGAGCAGAACCAACAGTCAGAAAGTTATTTGCATGGCATTTGTTTAAATTTAGTTCAATAATTGTTTATGGTTTGGAATATTTTAAATGAGTTCCTGGTCAGTGTAGCTTTCATAGAAACTTGGTTTACCGCTGAGGTTGGACTGGGCCGACTGGTCGTAAACCAGCAGGGTGGAGACAAAGACCAAGACGTGTTTCCAGTTGACCTCGTGCGTTTCCAGAACCTGCTGCAGGTGATGCAGCAGCTGCTCCACGCTGAAGATCGCAGCCAGCTACCACAGACAGGAGACATCCATAATGCATTCATCCTCCACAAATCATCAGGAAAATCATGGCAGTGAACTGCGGAGATGGCTCCAAATATGATGCCACATTAAACGCTTCCTCTTCCTTTCAGCACCAGACATAGCTGCAATGCCTCCATGCCAGGCCTGATGAAGTGACAAACTTTTACAGATTCAAATACGTCATTCCAGAGTTTTCCAGACAGCTGAGGTGCTAGAAATCATTTACCTTGCAGCAAAGCGAGGTCAGACAGCGGCCGGCTTTAGCAACAGTCCAGTCATTCTGCAAGGTCACAGCATCTGACACTGACGACAAACAATTTATTCCAACAAGTTTCAGGCCAGATCAGAGGAATTTATCCCATCATCGTGTGATCAATCAATCAAATGTTATTTGTATAGCACATGTCAGCAGCAAGGCATTTCAAAGTGCTTTACATCATAAACACAAAAACACAAAGTCATAGAATCAACAATACATTGTTCCATATTACATTTCAAATAAAACTCTAATCAGCTGGTTTTTAGTTGAGATTTAAAGGAAGTCAGGGTTTCTGCTGGTTTACAGTTTTCTGGAAGTTTGTTCCAGATTTGTGGTGCATAGATGCTGAAAGCTGCTTCTCCTCTCTTGGTTCTGGTTCTGGGGATGCAGATCAGAACCAGAACCAGAACCTGAGAGTCTGGAAGGTTGATCAACAACAGCAGATCTTTGATGTATTGTGGTGCTAAACCGTTCAGTGATTTATAAACTAACAACAGGATTTTAAAATCTATTCTTTGAGCTACAGGGAGCCAGTGGAGGGACTTTAAAACTGCTGTTATGTCTCTATCTTCCTGGTTTTAGTGAGAACAGGAGCAGCAGCTTCTGGATCAGCAGCTTCTGGATCAGCTGCAGCTGGAGAATTGATTTGTTGGACAGGCCTGTGAAGACGCTGTTGCAATAATCAATGTGACTAAAGATAAACGCCTGGATGAGTTTCTCTAGATCTGGCTGAGACATTAGTCCTCTAATCCTGCAGATGTTCTTCAGGTGATAGAAGGCCGACTTTTTTACTGTCTTTATGTGGCTCTGGAGGTTCAGGTCAGAGGTCATCACTACTCCCAGGTTACGGGAGTAGTGATGACTCGCTGATCGCTAGTTTTTAGTTGTAATAACTGAAGCTGTGCATTGACTCTAGAGCTATAGCTCTAGATCTGTAGCTTTAGATCTATAGCTCTAGATCTATAGTTCTAGAGCTATAGCTCTAGATCTGTAGCTTTAGATCTATAGCTCTAGAGCTATAGTTATAGATCTATAGCTCTAGATCTATAGTTCTAGATCTATAGCTCTAGATCTATAGCTCTAGATCTGTAATTCTAGAGCTATAGCTCTAGATCTGTAGCTTTAGAGCTATAGCTCTAGAGCTATAGTTCTAGATCTATAGTTCTAGATCTATAGTTCTAGATCTATAACTCTAGATCTGTAGCTTTAGATCTATAGCTCTAGATCTATAACTCTAGATCTATAACTCTAGATCTATAGCTCTAGATCTATATCTCTAGATCTATAACTCTAGATCTATAGTTCTAGATCTATAACTCTAGATCTAGCTTAGATCTATAGTCTAGATCTATAGGTCTAGGTCTATAACTCTAGATCTATAGTTCTAGATCTATAACTCTAGATCTATAACTCTAGATCGTTCCTCTTTAGGTCCAAAAATAATGACTTCAGTTGTGTTTCTGTTCAGCTGGAGAAAGTTTTGGCACATCCACACATTTATCTGTTCTAAGCATTTATTCAGTGATTGGATGGGGTCAAAGGTCACCTGGTGACATCGTAATGTAGAGCTGTGTGTCATAGTTATGGTATCTAATATTATTTCCTGTTATAACCTGAGCTAGTGGGAGAATATAAATATTAAATAAGAGGGGTCCTAGGACTGAACCTTGGGGTACTCCACATGTGACCTTTGACCTCTTTGATGAGAAGTTTCCAATTGAAACAAAGAATCCCTGTTCTTTATGTAGGATTCAAACCAGTTCATCGAACCAGAGTCCAACCCAACTCTCCAGTCCATTCAGTAATATGTCAAAAGCTGCACTGAGGTCCAACAGAACCAGAACCAGAACCAGCACTGTGGTTCTCCCACAGTCCGTACTTATATGAATATCATTGAATACTTTGACTAGGCCAGTCTCTGTGCTGTGGTCATCATGAGGAAACTATTTAATTGTTTTCACAGTTTTTTTCAATAACTTTGCTGATGAATGGGAGGTCAGAGGTCAGAGGTCGGCCTGTGATTCTGCAGTAGTGATTTGTCCAGGTTGTTCTTTTTTAACAGTGGTTTAATAACTGTTGTTTTCAAGGCCTGGGGGAAAACGCCTGATGTAAGCGATGAGTTACTATTAGGATCAGATCTGCAGCAATAACAGGCAGGACTTCCTTAAAGTTATAGATCTAGATCCAGACAGCAGGAGCTTGAACTTAATTGACTTATCATTTCTTCTAGGGTTTTATAATTAACTAGTTGAAAATGGGTCATTTTTCCTGTATTTGTTCTGTTTGGGTTCAGCAGTGGTTCTGGCTTTAGAGTTGATGTGCAGATTAATCCTCTGATTTTTTTAATTTTCTCTGAAAAGAAGCTGGAAAACTTGTTCCATCAGCATTAGATTGGAGTTCAGGTGGTAACGTCACAGGAGGGTTTGTGAGCCTGTCAACTGTTGCAAATAAAGCTCCAGCATTGTTAATGTTTTTGTTTATGACATCTGCAAAGAAAGCCTCCCTTGCATGTTTTAGTGTTGAGTGATAGTTACGTAGTCTTTCTTTATAGATGTTATTATGAACGTAAAGTTGAGTTTTACGCCATTTTGGTTCTGCTCTGCAGCAGAGTTGTCTGTTTGTGCTTTTCTCCATGGAGATTTTTTCCTACCAGACACAACCTTTACTTTAATTGGGGCAATAGAATCAATGATGTATGAGACACCGACGCTACGGTTATAGCCACTATCACTGCTGACGCTAATGCTACCTGTCAGTTTGGGATTCCAGGTGAAAATCTGAGTCAGGCAGTGAGCAAAGAACCGCTGAAGAGCTTCTGGTGACACTGAACCTCCACACAGTGAAGCATCAAGAGTCTGAATCCTGCAGGAAACACAAAACAGAAGAACATAGAACCAAACCTGGACAAACACAGAACCAGGGGTGCACCAATTTATTGCTGCTGATTTATTTAATTTTGGGAGCTCATGGTGACTGGTCAATGTCAAGCCAATCTCATTCACGGATCTCATCTACATTGGCAAAGGTCTTAAGTACCGCCATCATATTTTATGCACAAGCCAGCATATACAAAAACAAATGTGGTTGGTGGCGCAGTGGCAAAGCATGACCCACATATGGAGGCCTTAGTCTTCGTGGCGGTAGTCACAGGTTTGATTCCTGGCCAGGTGACACTTACTGCATGTCTTCCCCCCCTCTCACTACCCACTTTCCTGACGGGTTACTTTCAAATAAAGGCAACTAGAGCCAAAAGACCCTTTAAAACAAGTTTTGAAATATACACAAACTTTTGACTTGCTGTCAGGTTACTTTCTGTGGAAATAAACTACAAATCGCCAAAATTCACCTAAACTTAACTACATTCAGTTATTTACACAAAGAATCAAACCTGATGTTAATCATGACTTTATATTTCAACAATAAAAATTAAACTATGAAACTGAACCAATTTATCCTCACAAAATAACCAAAATTATTTGAAAACCTCACTCCAATGTAAATAAAATTTCCTCAGTTAGTCTCATAAAGACGTAACGCATCGTCTGAAAGCATCTACGGCTCATTTACTCTTACTGAAGAGAAACCAGGGCTGATCAATAGGTTTGATTATTGAAGGTGATCAGGTGTGCAGACAGTCTCAGGTATATCAGTAGCTGCATCAAGGTGAGCTGCTACCTGAGGATCTGTGGCTCTGATGGAGAACATGAAGCCATCGATCAGAGATCATATTGATCTGCTGGTTTATTAGCGTTTAGAGAATCCAGACCAGAGGTGTGTCGATCAATCAGCCACGATCATAATCGGATGATTTCTGTGAAATCAGAAATCACCTATCACCAAAATCAATCACCTGGATCTCACTTGGCAGCCTGCGTGTGCAGCTGATCTCCTCTTTCCTTCTCACTGCGCAGCAACAGGTAACTCACACCAAACAGCTGCAGGTCAGACAGTCAGTCTATTCTCCAGCTTTATGAATACAAAGCGTCTGCATCCTGTAAATGTGCAACTTGGGTTAGGGTAGGGTTAGGGTTAGGACAGGACACGATTCCTGTATTTAGAATAAACGTCCACATTCCCCACACAGATAGATAGAAAGACGGACAGACGTCTGTCTGTCTTTCTGTCTTTAATCCCGGCTCAGCGCTCTACTGTCCAATCAAACATTTCCACTCGGAATTCTTTATTTTCAATTTGGATTTTTTTTCTTTACAATTTATTATGTTTATTTTTTGTCAAATGACCTTATGATCCCTGCATCAACAAAATAACAGTAATTTTAAATATCTGTACTCCTAGCAGGAAGGGCGTTGACATGGTTACTGTTTCAGGTGGCAGCAGACTTCCAGGTATTTATTCTAATTCACATTGAGACGTATTTATGGATGACAGGCAGACCAGCAGCTGCTCCATTTTCCCCAACGTGTGATTTCTAAAGGAAAGGAGCGCAGCAATGAGTGTAGCCACAACTTTATACGTCCCAATTTGTCTGTATGGCAAATTTTAATGTGAAAGCTGGACAGGACACCAGAACCCAGAACCGCCTGGTGTGACTTTTCATCCCGTCTGTGTTGGGATGAGTGTGAATCTTGAATGAGGGCAGCATGAACTTTGACCCTTTCTTCAAGGAGGAGACAGACCTGAAGGTTGAGAAGAAGAAGAAGAAGAAACCAACCATCGCTCTGCTCCTTCATCGCACTCTTCCTTAATGTCCAGAAACCCTAAAAACAAAAACAGCCAAATCTTAGCAATCACTCAGAAAGTAAAAGCGGCGGGCGCAGCGGCGGGCGCAGCGGCGGGCGCAGCGGCGGGTGCAGCGGCACTCACAGAGAAGCAGCTCGTCCAGCACTGAACTCCTCACTGATGCCACCAGGACTCCAACCACGGCTGAAACACAGGAGACGCATCTTCAGCTGCGGCTCTCTGGAACCGGCAGCTGTTCCAAACAGAACCACAATAAACAATCAGAACAGAACCAAAACAGATCTAGAGCATCTTTTTTCTCCACTGTCGCCGTGTTCTTGCTCAGTATGAGGGAAGGCTGAAAAGTTTTAAATGAGTCCTGCTGCATGTTTCGCTTGATGCAGGAACTGACGTTAATTTCAGCGTTGCAACAAGTCACCTCCAGAGGATTCTGGAGAAAAATGCTCTTACTGGATAAAACTTCCTGTTGAACTTGTCTGGTCTCCTCTTCCTCCTGCGGAGGCGTCCAGCAGCAGAGAGCCTTTAACTGACCAGGCAGCCATGATGCGACGGCGTCATCACTGGGACACAAAGAGGGACATTGGATTTTTGACGCATCTAAAAGGTTCATCACTTACATGGCGAGTCTGTTCCATCAGAAACATGACTGCCATGGAGACCCCATGTTGGAGGTTGTTGCAACCAGTAGACTCCATCTGAGTGGAGTCTACTGTCACCTTAGCGAGAGGCTCAAGTTCTTCTGTTAAAGCCCCTCAGGCTGATTATTAAGCATGGTGGCGGAGGAATGATGCTAAATATTTCTAAACTATGTTTAGAAATATTTAGAAAAGCTGACATTTGTCAGATTTTCTCTGACAAATGTGTCCAACACATTTTACTGTAGTTATCATCAGGTTGTTTTTGTTTTATAATTCACAGGATTCTGGAAACAATCATAGCCTTGGGACTATTTTGGATCATAAGTTCAAATTTACCTGCCATTCAAAGAACCTGCAAAGGAGAAAAAAAGGGCCAGCAAAGGTTGTTTTGTCTAAGAAAGCTCGCAAAGTTTCAGGCTGATAAGTCAATTATGATCCTAGTTTATAGATCATATATTGACCTTTTCCATAATCTGATGGAAAACTGAACATGGCTCCAGTTTGGTTAGCAGAACCAGAGCATCTGTACCATCAACATCAGTTCCTCCTCCTTCCATCATCTCAATCAGAACTAAATCCTGTAGAAACCCGAGGAAGTGATTTTATTGAAAATACAGAAAAAACGAATTTATGTCTATGCTCTTAAACATCTGATCCTTTGGTACCAATAAGTGAGGAGGACATTAGATCAGTAATGGCAGCGGTTTGGGTTCAGAACCTTCTCTTTTATCTGACAACCAATCAGAAAGATAAACGTTAAACCTCTTCTCATCATGCTCAGAAATACGGCAGCTTCTCACTTCAGGTTACCAAGATGCTTTCTGGTCTGGCAGCTCCTGAAACATCCAACTTTCATCATGAAGCAAACCAGAAAGCAGAGCTCACCTTTCTATGATGAAGTCCAGAGTGAGGATGTTGTAAAGGTGAAGAAAGTACAGCAGCTCCAGGTGAGGATGCTTCTGAAAACAGGACATGCCTGGGTTTAGTGCCCGGTTCACCAACTTACGCAAAGTTCCTGCTGGCAGAGAGTGAAAACACTCCAGATTACCAGATTCACATGACCCAAGGTTCTGTCTCCTTGTTTGTTTTAATCTACATTTAAGAATCAAGTTCTAAAAACATGGTGGTGCAGAAGAATAGCCTCTGAGCTGCAGGAAGCGAACCCCTGCCAGTTGTGTGATCACCTGATCTCTTCGGTACTCCGCCCACAGAAGCCTTGGACAAAAAGCTCCTTGGCAAAGCAGCAGTTTGCTGGCTTCCAACAGAACCTGCAACTGGACCTGCAGAGCACAGGGAAGAACAGAACCTGTCAGAACATCTGCAACAGAAACGTCTCAAAGCCGCTGGTGGAAAAGTGACCCAGAGCAACCAGAACCACAGCAAACCCAAAGAGGAACCAGAAAAAGGCGCAGGTAAAAATCAAAAAGCTCTGCAGCAGAGTCAGATGAAGCCCACATGTAAGGGTACCCCAGAGGTGACTCGGTACCAGTATCAGTGCCGTGCATCACTGCAGCGGTGGGTCCATTAGACTGACTCACTCTCTGAGAAGACGTGAACATCTGCCTAAGTTTGTCCTCCTGTCTCCCAGCGATCTCATCCAGTCTGTCCAACATCGTCTTCACCGAGACGGCTCCGACAGCGACGCCCCGTCGGTCGGCCTGACGCCGCAGCTCGCTCACTGCAGCAGACAACAAGTTGGGGAGGGGTGAAATAATGACAGGCGAACATTTGATCTTGGTGTGGAGGCGAATAATCTGGACCAGCATGAGCTGAAAGGCCACTCAGAGAGGAAGAACAGTGGTGACCAACATGTGGCCCGGGAGCCGTTTGTGGCCTGCAAATCCAGACGGCTGATGGTAAATATTTTATATTTATAAGATTTTCTCTGACAAATGTGTCCAACACATTTTACTGCATTTACCATCAGGTTGTTTTTGTTTGATAATTCATAGGATGAAGTAACAATCATAGCCTTGGGACTATTTTGGATCATAAGTTCAAATTTACCTGCCATTCAAAAAACCTGCAAAGGAGAAAAAAAGGGCCAGCAAAGGTTGTTTTCTTTAAGAAAGCTCGCAAAGTTTCAGGCTGATAAGTCAATTATGATCCTAGTTTATAGATCATATATTGACTTTTTCCCTCCTCTGTTGGTTTGGAAATCTTGGTATTAGGAGTTGAACAATGCTCACTTGCAGAGCTCTTCAATAAACGGATCATCGGGAAAACGAAAGCCATTCTTGTGCCTTTACATCCCAAGTTCCAGTTTCTGCCCTGTGGCCTCCAGCTCAGACTCTCCCTATGGACAGTAATAGGTAGAAGCTCTGATTTGTTCCTACAGCAATAAGTTTTTTTAATGCAGCACTCAGTGGGGGGACTCGCACCTGACTGTTACTGTTCATAGCAACTGTCGGTAGACAATGATATACACTGCTGTGCTCTTCCCATTATGAATTGATTTGTACTTGCAGTCTTTTTTGGTATGGTTTTTAAAAAAATATTTTTTAACTTTTGATACTTTCTCTTTTAGTTTGTATGTATTTTTATAATATTTACATCCTTGTAACATGAAGTACCATTTGAAAAAGTCCATGTCCCTGTGGGGGTTCTCCGGGGCCTTTTGATACGGGCTGTCAGGTCCCTGTATGACCGGTGTTAGGGTCTGGTCCACATTGCCGGCAGTAAGTCGGGCTCATTTCTGGTGAGGATTGGACTCTGCCAGGGCTGCCCTTTGTTATGGATTCTGTTATGGACAGTTTGTAGGCCAGCTAAGGTGTTGAGGGGATCCGTTTTGGTGGCCTTAGGATCCCATCTCTGCTTTTTGCAGATGATGTGGTCCTATTGGCTTCATTGCATCTTGATCTGCAGATCTTGCTGGAGCGGTTTGCAGCCGAGTGTGAAGCGGCCGGGATGAGGATCAGTGCCTCCAAATCTGCGGGTCTCTAGCCGGAAAAGGGTAGAGTTATTTCTCCGGGTCGGGGGGACGACGTGCCCCAAGTGGAGGTTCATGAGAGAGGGACACATGGAGAGGGAGGTCGACAGGCGGATTGGTGCAGCACCTGCTTCACTGCAGTGATGTACCTACATCAGTATGCATGTTTAGTGAAGTGGGCCCCGATACAGCACTGCTCCTTCACATTAAGAAGAGCCAGTTGAGGTGGCATCTTTTCAGGTGAGGAGTTCAGGTCCCAATGGAAGATCCAGGACTAGAGGGACGATGTTCCTCTTCTGGCAAGCCGTGGCAAATGGAGGAGGAGCTGGAACAAGAGGCTGGGAGAGGGAAGACTGGGCCTCCTACTGATTCTGCTGACCCCGCGAGCCGACCCCGGATAAGAGGAACAAAATGGATGAATGGCTGAAAGCAGCTGGTCGAGCCAAAAGCCAATCTCGATCTCCACTTGCATCCAGATCCACAAGGCTCACAGTACTTTCATCCTTTCTTTAAAATACTGGATGTTAAGTTATTGTTGAGCATGTAAAAAACTATGAAAAGCAAAATTTTAAATGATATTTTGATTTTTCATTTCAAAAGTGTCAAATTTTGTGGCCAGGGTTAGGGACACCACTGATCTTAAAGCAACTAACTCACCAAAAACTGAGGAGATGAACAGAAACTTTTGACTCTGAAGGAAGATTTCAAATAATTGTTTACAATTCTAAAATGATTATTTTTTAAATGAAACAAAAATTAATCTCCACTGACCTTTATATCAGACGATAAAAAGGTATACTGTGCACATTCTCACCCACTAGCAGTCCTGCAACGTTCAAAGGGTCAACATCAGACACTGCCTGGTTCTGCTTCGGGTTTCGGTTCTGCTCCATGTTCTGGAAGCAGATCATGCGACATGGATCCGGGTTCTGGAAACATCTAAAGGTTACTGCAGGAAGAGACTTCCTGTCTGACTTCCTGACTCACCTGCAGCTCCTGGAACAGCCTGCAGAGGTTCTGGTTCTGGTCCAGCAGCAGGACCGCAGCCTCCTGCAGCCGCTCGCCATCATTAAGCCTTGGCTTCTTTAAGCTGCGGCCAGCTGAGACCGAGCAGAACAAGAAATATTAAAACATTCACTAAACATCACTAAGGAGAAATTTTGTGACTCTGCTAGAAAACTAGAACCCATTTAAGGGACAAACTTCCTCCGTGGGGACAGGATTTTGTCCTCAGCAAAGAGGAAACAAGAAAGCTTCCAGTTGTTTCCTCAATCATTTACATCCGCTCACCAGAGAATTAAAGATTGTGGACAAATTGCATTGCAGGTCTGCTGCTGGAATCTACTTGAATATTTCAGGATCTTCAAGCTGCAATCAGCCTCTCTTCTTGTCCAAGCTTCTTCTTCCAGCTTATTTTAGGTTAACTAAGCTGTTTCATTGGAGTTTTTACAGGTTAAAGGTCATCCTGGAAGCTTATTTCCATATCATAAAACCTGGCATCTAAACAGTTGAGAATTTTTATTTTCTCTGTAGTATTTCAGCCTGTGTTTTTAGACTGAATAGAATAAACGCCAACGTTTAAGCCAAGTCTAGAAAACAGCGTCATATTTATTATCTCGGTTGATATTTATTCAGTTTCTGCTGAACGTTTAAAGCTTTAACTCCGTTCATGACCAGAACATTACTAACGTTACCCGGTCACCTGGACAGGTGTTTTAACTCACCGAGGAGGGAGCAGAGCGGCCTTTTCTGCGACCCACAGGAAGCCTGGAGGGACATGAAGAGAAGCTTCCGGTTCCGAGACGATTCTGGGTCAGAGAAGGTTCTGGTTCCAAAAAAAGTTCTGGTTTAACTTGTCTTGCTCCTACGTTCTGTGTCCGCCATGTTTCCTCTTGGCGCTTAATGCTCTCATTGGTCGGACCTGCAGCCAATCAGGTGAGAGCTTCTTCTTCCTCTTCTTCTTCTTCTTCTTCTTCTTCTTCTTCTTCTTCTTCTTCGTTTGAGAGGAGCGTGTGAGTGGAAGAAGAGCGAGTGAGAGGAGAAGGGAGGAGCTGCTGCAGCAACAGGAAGGGACCTAACCCTGGATGCTGCTCGTTTTTTAATTGATTTTAGTCTTTTCAAGTGTTGAAATAGAATTTTAAATTAGCACAATAGTACACAGGCTAATCTTTACTTAAGACAAACTTAGATAAAGATCCAAACTAAAACAACTGGCCACTCTAAAAGTTTTACATGAATTGTATAGGGAGGATCTTAAAGAAAGACAGACTGAGACTTCCTTAACTCTCTTTAGACAGGGAGGCTGTCTGCCAGACAATTAACAAATTCCTTAGCGTGGTTCAAAAGTTCACTAGGATCTTAAAACTTTTTATAAATAATTTGATCTATATTAGAATTAACTATATTTCTTTAAGCATGTTTTGAATTAGTTACTTCTTAGATCCAAACTTATAGTCATTATTTAGCATTACATTTTGTGCAAGCTTGGTTAAAAATACAAACTACTTTCTTGTGGAATCATTTGAGTCAGAAAACTAAAACAGACAGAGGAAGTAAATTTAGCTCAGGGAGAGTTGCAGGAGACGCCTGGTACGGCAGAGACCCAGTTTGACGATCCATATATCAGGAGGTAATAAAATCAATGGGAAGGCCCACAAAGGAAAACACACACCTCCTAATGCATATATTTAAATGAGGAGAATACACATTATTATAAAATGGTTTGTTTCACAGCAGGAGTTCAAATCTCTTTGTGCTGAGTGAGAGTTTCCCAAAAGATGCATCTTTTGTTTGTGTTTTTATTTCCCTTTTTACTCAGTTAATTGTTTCTGTTTTGTCATGTCTTGGACTTTTGATGATCTAGGTGAGATGCTTATTGTAACATTCTTCTTGCATTGATTTTCTCTGGATAAAACTCTGGATATCTGAAGTCTGATGTCGTATGATTGCTCTTTCTCCCTGCACATGTATACAGACACAAGAATCTAGGACAAGGAGGAATGAATTAACGAGCTAAATCAAGTTATTCCTCTTTTTAATTCTCAACACAAGCTAAAAGGTTGGCTCAGTTTTATCAAAATGTTTCCAAATCCTTTTTAAACTATGTTGTTAACAGGAGCATAACTCTCAGCATTGGCTTTTAGAAGAAGCTGTCATGGAATGGTGTGGATGTTGGTGGTGAGGCAGACGCTCGAGACCCAGGTAAGGTTTAAGGTGGTTTTAATGATGATAATGATCCAAAAAATACAAAAACTCAATAGGTCCACGGCCAAGCAGCACAGCTGAGCGGAAGCCAGGACTCAAACCCGGTAGCATTGTTCATACAGGTGGACGGCACAAACCAAGACAAGCAACGACAAGGAACAAAGGAGACAGGAGGGATTAAATACACAGAGCGTAATCACAGGGACGAGACACACCTGGGAGCAATCAAGGGGGAAGACAGGACAACGAGGAAACTCAGGGAGACAGAAAACTCAAACAAACACACAGAGAAACACTGGACATGACAGAAAATTGGTCTGTGGAGCAAGACTGGACGTCCAGAACAGCACCGTACTGGGCCTTTCTGAGGCCTTCTTCAGGTCCGGGTCGGTGACCCGGCAGCGGTTGGCGCAGGTGGCCGGTCTGGACTTTTCTAACGTCCAGGAGTTTGGCTCGCTGCTTGGGGTCCGGTTAGCCAGACCCATGCGGCGCTTCCTGGAGCGGGTGAAGGAGCGGATGACAGGCGGCTCCTGCAGCTACATGATGCAGAAAAGTACCTGCCTGACCCGAATGACCTGCTCCAGGTCATTTCCTGGATCCAGATTTTGAGGAGGACAGTGGACTCAGGGATGGATTTATGTAAAACAGGCCCAAAGGTACTGTACAAATATTGTAGAAAAATCCTGAGCAAGAAAACTTCACAAAAGGCCATCAGTGTGTGGAATGAAACTCAGAGCGCAGAAACCTCAGCGGAGGACTTCATGCAAGCCTCCAATAAAAAAAACGGACTGGAGATCTGGATTCTTCATGGTGCCAAATCAGTTTCCTTTTTGCAATTTGTCCGAGAGTGTGTTTCACCTTTTTATAGATTGTAGTAGTTAGTAGTTTTTTACATTTTTTCAACCAGAACTTTTAGCCTCTTTGCCGTGGTTTTTACCAATTCCGTTTTTATCAGCGGTGTACATCACAGTCGAGCCACTAGTTTTAAATCCCAGATTTTAAATGATTTATTAGCCCAAGCCAAAATGGTGATTTATTGAACTCAAAGGGCCAAAATGCAGGCTGGAGCCCAGCTTGAAGCCGTGTCTCTGTGAAAGTGTCACATCAAGGCCAGGTTGAGGTTGGAGTTTTGCTTCCACAGAGCCATTCGGGATTTCAAGTATTTTTTACAACTATGTTTAAAGAGTGTTTAGTGCATCATTTCTGACCAGGAAAACCTAAAATATAAAAAGCTGATCATGTAAATATTTATTTATTTTTTTTAATTTTTTGACCTGATTATGTAACAGTTGATGGTTAAATTATTGCACAATAAATGTTTTGTTAAAAATCAAAATCTTCTTCCAGTTTAAAAGTGCTTGACAGGTAAAGTTTTGGCGCATCATCGCCACAAATATATGAACCTTATTGATGGTGGACTCGGTGTGTGACTCCAGACCATCTGATCCATTTCCTCTGGTTCTTAGCAAGTTGTCCTAGAATATCTTGTTGTACTAGCAGATTGCTTTGTCTGTTTGTTTATGTTGCTTTGCATTGCAGAGCATAAAATCAGGGTCCTGTTTGGCTGCTGAGGCGAAATCTGAGTAAAGCTGCAGAACAACATTATTGTGTCACTGATAAATAAAGTTTCAGCTCAGGGTGGTTCCTCCTGGAGTCAGAACTTGAGCACCAGTTTGCTGCTCTCTGTTCTTCCACAGATGATCCGGCACTCTCACTTCACACTCACTTTAGATCTGATACTTCCATCACTGCAGATTTTAGCAAGCATTTGGTCTAATTCATTAATGTGCATTTTCTGTATGAAAGTTATAGAAGATGAAGCAGGAGTGTTTTTCAATATCTAAGTGAGTCGGTTAGGGTTAAATTCTCCCTTTGTATAAAACAGAACTATTAACTTGGTTCTGATCCAGGCTCAATGACCCAAATGTCTCACAGAACAAGGCGTAGCAGCTCATGCTTCAGGACCCGCCCAATGTTTCCTCACGTTCTGATTCTCAGGTGAAACAGAACCCAGGCCCGTTATTGACCTCCTGGGTTCTAGACTTTACTCAGAAGCAGCCAGTTGTCCTCTAATGTGGTTTTGTTCAATACATCTTCAGGCTTTCTGTTAATCCAATTGTACAAAGCAGAAAATAATCACTAATCAGGCTGAAAATTCAAACAAACTTAGAGAAAGTTGAGTGAAGCAGCCGTCCACCAGGCACTGGTTTCTGCCAGGCTTTGCTGCAGACGTTCAAGCAACAGAAAAGCTTCTTATAAAAGCTGCAAAAAGAAACTCATGAAATCTTAATTCATCCTGTCCTCTTGAATATTTAAAAAAGCCCATCTGCCTATTGTGCCACTAATGTACTGCATAGAGAAATAAATAGAGGGAGATGTGCAGCCAGCTGGCTGCAGTCGATGCTTCCCAGGTCCTGAAATCATTCCGATCGAGTCTGAAGAGACATAAACAGAAGAAACGGTGCCATTATTTATTACACTAATGTTCAGACCTTGGCTCATTGTTTCAGTTGTTTTTCAGATTTCTTTATTATTCTGTGTGTCTTTGATTCAATCAGCCTTGTTTGTGTTTTATTTTAGTTCAGTCCTTTTGAATGATTTTACCTTATTTCTTTTTTCTAGTTACTCTTTGTTGTTCTAATTTTATGTTTCTTAGTTATTTTTTGGTATTACATTTATTTCCTAGTCTGTGGTGCCACTTTCCGCTGCATTAGATCCCAGCCATGTTCTTTGTGCTTTTGTTTGTTTCTTATGTGTTTTTCTAAGTCTTTGTTCATATTTTTTATTAAAGTCTTCAAATCTACTCACTGCCTCTGCATTTGTGTCCTCTTTAACTTATGCATCAAGACAAACGGAGACTGGAATGGACCAATCATCTGCTAGCTTTAGCTCCCACTGTGCTGCAGACAGCATGGGATCCTGCAGGGTTCATGGTTGAGTTCACAGAACATGTGGTTTTAAGAAAAGCCCACATGTTCCACCTTCCACCACCGTGCTTGACAGATTGTTTGAAGGGTTTGTCTTCAAACATAGGTAGTTGGACATAATGGCTCCCATTATGTCCAACTACCTCTAGTTTATCTCATCTGTTCAGAGGATATTGTCTCTGCCGGATGGATCTCTGCTGACCTACGACCGGCAGCCATCTTGTTTCTAGAAGGAAAAGGTTTTATCCGTTAAAACTGAAACTTCTCTTGACCTGTTCACAGATGGATGAGGAGCAGATGATGAAGATCATCAGCTTGTCTCTTGTAGGGAAGCAGTTTTTAACTTACTGCTTCTCCACTACTAAACAGAGTTGAAGTTGGTGTTTTATGTCCTGAAATGTAAAAATCAACAACAAATCTACTTTATTGTTTGTTACTTAGAGCCGCCACTCGCTGGGATTATTATTAAAAACACACATCATACAATAGAAATCACTCAAATATATGAGGGATGACAGATTTAGCATATCAATGCAAAGTAGCTGCAGTTCATACAAAATGTTGAGAAATGTATCAAGCATAAAATAATTAACCATTCCAGTTATAAGTTAATGAAAAGCTAAAAATGATTTTCATTTCCTTTTTAAAAGCTTCTTTTCAGCTTTGATTGGCGCTAAAGGAAGAGAGCGACGCTCTGTCTTCACTCTGCAGGTAAAGCCGACAAGAAAACATCCTATCACTGAATGTCTGGTGA